ATGCTTACAATAGGATTTTGGTATATACTTATCCAAGTTAAAGAAGTTCCCATCACTTTCTGGTTTTCTAAGATTTATGACATTGGTTTTTTTTTTTTTTTTTTTTTGGTGGGATTGGGGTTTGAACTCGAGACTTTACACTTTCAAAGCAGGAGCTCTACCACTTGAGCCATGTCACCAGTCCATTTTGGTCTGGTTATTTTGGAGATGAGGTCTCACAAACTGTTTGCCAGGATGGCCTGGAACTGAGATCCATTCCCGAACCCCACCTTCCTGGTCTCAGCCTCCCAAATTGCTAGGATTACAGATATGGCCCACCAGGGTCAGCTGACAGTAGATTTTATTAAATGCTTCTTCTGCAATTAATGAGATGACCATGTGTTAACTCTTCCTTAATATGTTAATAGGGAGAATTTTATATATAGACCTCTTATCTTTGCTAGCTCTCATTCCTAAGATAAACCCAATATGATTATGACTATGGTTTTAAAAAAATAACTGTTGATTTGTGTAATTTTTATGCATGTGTGTGGAGGGGGACTGGGATTTGAACTCAGGGCTTTTCACTTGCAAAGCATGCACTCTATAACTTGAGTCACACCTATAGTCCAACTATTGGATATGAATTTGCTAATATATTGTTTAAGAATGTTACTCCTATGTTGATAAATGAGATTGGACAATAATTTTCTTTTCTTGTTGGTGTGGCTCAAGTGGCAGAGCACCTGCCTAGCAAGCACAAGGTCTGAATTCAAGCCCCAGTACAGTCAAAAAATTTTCCTTTCTTGTGCTGTCTGTGATAATAAGATAATATAATCTACAAATATTTATTGAGCATTGTGTGAAATGCTGGAAATATGTCAGTCCAATTATGTCAATCTTTATGGAGCCTATAATTTAGGAAAGAATTACAAAATATACCTGATTATAAAAAGAATCAGATAAAACCACTGTGGTAAAGACTGAGAAAACGCAGTGTAGAGTCAGGTGTCTAATGAGACAGGCAGAGCTGAAAAAACTCCCAGTGAAGAAGAGGTACCTTTGATTAGCTCTTTATTAGTTTTCTGATGCAACATAATTTACCACATACAGTGTCTTAGAATAATTTGGAGGACTATTATAGAGATTTAATTATCTGTTCAGATGCTCAGCTATAAATAACATAAGAACCAACTCAACAAAGCTTGGTTTTCAAACTTGAGTATGCATTAGCATTGCCCCAGGGCTTGTTTTAACAAGCCTGGACTGCTGGCCAGCTCCTTGCAGGATTTTTAGATTCAGTGGTTTCAGGATATATGGCCTAAGAATTTGCATTTTTACAGCACATTTTTGTTTTTGAGGCAGGATCTCAATACATAGCCCAGGCTCACCAGGAACTCGCTATGTAGCCCATCTGGTCTAGAACTTGTGATCCTCCTGTCTCAGCCTCCCACATGCTGAAATTAGAGGTGTACACCACCATGCCCAGCCTTCTATTTATATTTTTTAAATTGATGGATAAAAATGATACTGCAGGAGGGAAGTGGTCAGGGGTCAAGTAAAACAAGTCTGGCCCAGGCACCAGTGGCTCACACCTATAATCCTAGCTACTCAGGAGGTAGAGATGAGGAGGATCAAGGTTCGAAGCCAGCCTGGGCAAACAGTTTGCAAGACCCTATCTTGAAACAATCCTTCACAAAGAAAAAAGGCTGGTGGAGTGGTTCAAGGGGTAGGCCCTGAGTTCAAACCCCACCACAAAACAAACAAACAAGCAAAAAAACAAGACTGATCATGAGTTAATCATTGTTGAAAGTGAGTGGTGGGCACATGAGGTGCGCTATCCTGTCTACCTTTGTATAGACTTGATAATTTCAATATCAAAAATGTTTTAAAAGTGCGTGGACTATTGGCCTTCAACATCAGGCTGCCCGCCCTCTGTGCCACCTGATTTTGCTGCTTACTTGACCCTGGGCAAGTTATTTATTAGTTCTACACTTTATTTTCTCCACCCACAAAATGAGGGTATTAGTGATAATACTCTTCTCTCAAGTTGTTGTAAGGATTAAATGAATGTTGGCAGAATACGTGAAAAGCAATTTACCTTGCTCTTGGTATTCTGCACATACTCAAAAATGCCAACTTGTTTTGCTCATGAGTACATCTGATTTCTCCAGTCATGTCCTCTGTATGAAGCGCTCTTCCTCCAAGCTCCTTGAATATTTGGATGTCCAGTTGCATTTCAAAAGGACTACTGTTGGGTCTAGGACCTAAAGGATAGATGAGTGAGTCAGTATCCCATCCCCTATGGAGAGCACCATGAGTCCTGCACCCTGAGGAGACACGGGGTCTCACAAATCTGCCACGGCACTGATACGCAGAATGCTCTCAAGGTTGTTCCCCCCATAAGGAGCAAACAGACCAGATCATCAAAGAGAGCCCACACATGCAAATCCACAGCCAATGGAAAGAACCCACCTACCCTTACCCTAACCCAGAGTTAAAGTGTCCATAAAAAGCCCCAGCCTTCACCTGAGTGGGGAGCCACCAGTTTCAGGGCTCCACTGTACTGCTCTACCTGTAGCCTTTCCTCTCTCTCCAATAAATTCTACTTTGTGTACCAGCCTTATCTCACAAGTCAATCAGCTGCCTCATGAGCCAGTTCTTTGGCCTGTGAAGGCAAGAACCCTCGACACCAGCCCACAGCATTTCACATCTGCACATAACACTACTATATTTTATACTCTAATTCAGAATTATGAAACACATCTTTGATATTCTGTTTTCCCTCATACTGATTATACATTCTATTCTTTTGGTAGTTGTTTTTCTTTCTTTCTTTCTTTCTTTGTGATACTGGTGTTTGAACTCAGGGCCTTATGCTTGCTAGGCAGGGGCTTTACCACTGGAACCATATCCCCAGCCCTTTTTCACTTTTGTTATTTTTGGATAGGGTCTTTGTACTTTTTGAGGACCAGCCTCAGACTGCAATCCTACCATTTAGCTGGAGTAAACCACTGCACAGATACATTCTATCCTTTTGAGTTATTTATTTATTTTTATTATTGTTGTGCTGGGGGTGCATTGTGACATTTACAAAAGTTCTAACCATATATCACAGTTGAATTCACCCCCCTCCATCATTCTCCTTTATTTCCTTCCCCCTATTCCTGGAATAATTTCAACCAGCCTCATTTGTCCATTTACATACACATGAACATAATATTTCTACCACATTCACCCTCCTGCACCCTTTCCTTATATCCTCCCACCTCCCACTAACCCTTAGGACCTGTCTTGCCTTCCTGTTCTCCATTTTTAAAAAATGACATTTTTGTTTATTTAAGATAGCTATACAGGGTGTACATTCTAGTCTTTTTTTATTTATTATTTATATAGGAAGAAAACCTAAACTTTAAAAATTATATTGGACAAAAATCCAGAAATGCCTCTTGCAAACAAGGAGTAAATAAAAGATGAATGTGAAACATCTTCTGGACTGGCACCATGAAACCAAGAATCTGAGCCTGGAAAGGCCTGTGAGGTCCTAGATTCAACTCAAGACAGAAGGCGCTCTCTAGCACTCCTGCAGAATCCATTTTCAGGAAGGAAGTTCACTCATGGTTGCTGCAACACCAGTTAGGCCCAGCTTCATACATCCTGTTCTGTGGCTTCCAGAGATGCATTCAAACTACTTGCTACACCAGCAGTGGATAGTCAAACGCCCTGGAACACAGTCTCTTCAAGCTCTCCAAACAGAAAAGGGGAAGGATCCCTCCTTTCCCCTTTCAACCCTCCCTACACAAACTGACACTTCACATATCCTGGCACACCCTGACTTCCTGCAAGACAGTATACAGTCTGCTTTAAAAACTCAGAGGGCGATGCACCTGGGTCTGAGTGACATTTTCAGCTAGCCAAGAAGAAAACGTAAACAAAGCTTCTCTTGGATTGTTCACAGAGTTTACCAATTACGACTGAAACCCAGGGCTCCAACGTCCCTGCTACCTTAATGGCATTAGTTTGAGATGTTGACAGTCACATATGTGGAACTCTCATCCATTACTGTACATCAAAGAGCAAATGTCATTCTGGCTGAGAAACTCTTGTGTGAGGATGGCCATCTTGGCAGCTCTAGTGGTTCCCAGTGTCTATTTCTGACTCCTCCTGTTGCAGGCTTCTGCTGCCAAGTGAGCACTGCCCTAAACCCCTGAGTTTCTGAGTTAGAATCACAGCTGCCATCCTTTGACTATTTTGCTCTATGATAGGCACTACATTAAGCACGTGAACATATCTCGGGGAAGAATCACAATAATCCTCCTAACTAAATACTACCTTCTTTGCATGATAATGTCTACCCATCCATAGATGAAGAAATTCAAAGAAGTTGTTTAAGGCCACAGAGCCATTCAAGTCCTGCCTCCAAAGCCCACCCCTTTGCCTCTGAGGTGTGAGAAACCAGACTAGAGGTGAAGCTTGACTTGAACCCAAAGGAAACTCCTGATTGGTCCTGATGGTATGGTGTTGTCAACAAAACTAGTCTTTTGTCCAGAGAGACCAGGAAATGAAGTTGCCATGCCACTGTTCCTTCCTGAAAGAGACTCCACCAGGCTGCTCAATTGTCTTGCTCCAATTCAGCCTGCTGGAAAAACTAGGGTGTCTGCACAATGATTAATTTCACGCCTTCGCTGCCTACTTGAAGCCTGTCTCTGGCTCAACAGTACACTTTTGTGTAGCATTTGGAGTCAGACTTAGAGTGGCTCTCTGTTACACAGAACCGACTTCCCGTTCAAGGGTAAGTAGACTCAAGAGGCAAGGACCAGAATGCTGGAAAGGAGGGGCCGGACCTGCATTCTAAAAAGTCTTGAATAAGTACCGGCCATCCTTAGGCCCGCGGGCCAACAGGGCTGGAGAAAAGGAGAGGGGCACAGACTGGACCAGCCCCGCCTCCCACGTGGACGACTCCCTGTCTAGGCTCCGCCCCATAGGCCCCTCCTCATCTAGGCCCCGCCCCCGGTCCCGCCCCGCGGCGCATTGTGGGATCCGTCCTTCTGCCGGGTGGTGCAGGACACAGCGCTTGGTCATGGGGATCCAGCCGGTAAGACCCTGGTTCGGTATCCTGCTCCCGGGGACCTTGCCCCAACTGGTTCTGGGCCCTCAGCTGCGGACCAGGGGACCCCACCTGCGGATGGGGTTCCCCGTCCCGCAAGGCTTTGGACCCCCCTGAGATGCTGGGGTCCCAGTACTACACCTCCTACCTCCGGGCTGGGTACGCCGGCTTTGGCATGCCTTCGCGCTGGAGCTCGGGACCGTCATCGCTGGGGCTGCCGGTCCTACCGAACGGTCACCACCCACGCCCTAGGCTCTTTCTCAGCTTGCCGGTCACGCTGCCTCTTCTATTCACAGAGCCCAATCCTTCTGGCCTCTCTTGGGGTGGGTCTGCTTACTCTTTTCGGTCTGGCTCTGGGCACCTACTTGGTTCGAAGGTCCCGCCGGCCACTGGTCACTCTCCTGAACCCCGATGAGAAGTACCTGCTGCGACTGCTAGACAAGACAGTAAGTTGTGGAAGAAAGGGCCAGGGTAGAAAGGGGACCACAGTTCTCCTGGTATGAAGGGGACCTACGGTGGTGGGGATGCTCCAAGGGACTGGTCAACTCCAAGACTGGCTTGGTGAAACACTTGTGTCATCCATCCTCCAGACTGTGAGCCACAACACCAAGAAGTTCCGCTTTGCCCTGCCTACCGCCCATCACATTCTGGGGCTACCTGTGGGTAAGGAAAGTATGGAGTAGGCTCCTTTCCCTGGTGTCCTAGGAAGGCGATTCTCCTGGGGTCTGAAACATGCCTTGGTCTTTCTTCTGCACACCATTCCCCTTCTCTCACTTGAGTCTGGATCTTCCAGGCTGTAAGGGGTGCCAGTGAGACCCTTTAGGGTGTGGCTTCTGTGCCCCCAGACATCTTTAACACTCAGCAGCCTCCCTCTTTCCTGTGGGACTTGCTCATAACTGTCCCTGGGAAGACATTGATTTTTTTTTCCCCCATGGTCCAGACCCTCAGCTCACCTGGTGCTGCCACGGTCCTGGCAGTGATTGATAGGAATCTCTCCCAGAGGAGACTGGGGAGAGATCCTGCTGAGCACTTTTAAGGGGTGAATCCTCCCTGTCTGCCAGCTCCTTGGGACCACTCCAGAAGCAAAACATTCTATCCTTTCAAACCTCTCTGAGTATTTCAAAAGGTAACAGAGCTGCAGCACATCCATAAGCAGCCCTTATGTAGTTCTCCTCATGGTCTCCAGGCAAACATGTCTACCTCTCTGCCCGAATTGATGGCAGCCTGGTCATCAGGCCATACACTCCTGTCACCAGTGACGAAGACCAAGGCTACGTGGATCTTGTTATCAAGGTAAGAGTGTAGGAAAGAACCCCAGAGGCTCCTTACCCCATTCTTTCTGGGATTTGTAGAAACTTCTAGGTTCATTCGATAGCAGGAGATGGTGTGTCCTTTCCAAAATATGAGAAAAGTGTATGGATTGGAAATGAAAACGTGTGTGATCCTTGCCTCAGCCTCAGTGACCTCCAAATAGGGTATTTTCTTCTCTGCCTTACCAGGTTTATCTGAAGGGTGTGCACCCTAAATTTCCAGAGGGAGGGAAGATGTCTCAGTACCTAGATAACCTGAAGATTGGGGATGTGGTAGAGTTCCGGGGCCCAAGTGGGCTACTCACTTATGCTGGGAAAGGTAATGACCTGTCTTTTCCTTGAGCCTAGCTTCACTTCTTCAGTTCCCATAGCCTGCTTGGCACAGTTTGTGTGTGTGTGTGTGTGTGTGTGTGTGTGTGTGTACATGTGTGCACGTGTGTAAGGCCAGAGCTGCCCTTCTATCTAAACATAGCTAGCACTGATACTACAGAAAGTCATGTTTCTTAGCCCTGTTCACTGTAGGAAGCAGTTACCCTTCCACCCGAATTCATCTGCTTTGACGGACAGCTATGGAGATCACCAAAGCAAACATCCCTCTAATCCTCCCTCAAAGTTTCACCCCTCCTGACTGTGGAGATGAAGAGATAGCTTCCAGCCCTTCCTATGGGAAACAGCTGGGTGTGATAACAAGTCCCTGAAGTTGCTTTGTACCAGTAGGGAAACCAAATTCACTCCTTGTCCCATGCCCGTCACCCTCATCAGGGAGTGACCCTCTGCCAGAAGCTTCTGATGCTCACTATGTGGCCCTGAACTGACTGGTAGACAGATAACTCTGGCCCCATTGTCCCTCGAGGGTATTATTGTCAGGGTTGGCTCCTCTCAAACCTCCATTCAAAGTTCCAGGATCAGATTTCATAGCAGTTGCTAAATTGACCTCAGGCATATTTTTGGTTCTGCACTTGTTTACTTAGTTTCCTACTTTGATTTTGTTCTTCCACCCGTTTCTTCACTTTACTCCTCAGGGAAGTTTAACATTCAGCCCAATAAGAAATCTCCACCCGAAGCAAGAGTGGCGAAGAAGCTGGGAATGATTGCTGGAGGGACAGGTATGAATCCCTTTGAGGGGCTATTCTCTCCCACCCTTGTTGGTTGTTGTCATGATAATGCCTTAGTGACCTCAGATTTAGTAATCAAAGCCAAACTGTTAATCGGGGCATTCCCAGCAGTGCCTAGACCTCCCCAGTGGCTGAAGTCATAAGCAAGTAGAAACCAAAGGAATTTTTGCACTGATAAAATGAGAGCAATAAATCAGGTGAGCTCTCTGCAAATTGAATGAATCTAATAATTTTTAGGTGGAAGTAAAGAGCAACAGTTAAGAATGATAATCAAAAGGAAGGAAAATTAGCACTGGTCACCACTGTGTATTAGACACACACATATATATCTATAGGTTAGTTACCAATCTTTCCTTCATAGATGACAACGGATATTCAAAGAGGTTAAATGGTTTCCATTAGGTTACTTAATTGGTAATAGTCAGAGGCAGGATTCAAATCTGGCTCTGCCCAATTCCAAAGTACATGTACTTAACCTGTAGACGTCCAGTATCTCAGAACATGTCCATGTAGTCATCGATGTGATTTAGGTCCCTAGCCTCCAAGGGACTTTCAGAAGAAGAGTCTTAGGTTGGTTCCTTAGAAGGATTTCCCCAATATAAACATCTGTGAATGTCGAGAATATGCAGGAAAAGGTCAGAGGATTAAGGTGCTAAAGGAAAAGGGAGTAGGTGTGAATGAGTAGGTCAGCTAAGAAGCTGTGATAGAGCAAAGTGTGGACACCACATCTCACCGTGGGGTGTCCTCATGCAGGAATCACCCCTATGCTACAGCTGATCCGGGCCATCCTGAAAGTCCCTGAAGATCCAACCCAGTGCTCTCTGCTTTTTGCTAACCAGGTGGGTTTGCCCTTCTCAGTCCTGGGCCTTCAGAGTTGGCATGTGGGTAGGGCTGAGTGTTGAGGAACTGATGGGCAGCATGGACCCAGTGCCTGTTTAGCCTCTGCCCAAGGTGTCTTCTGCAAGATACAGGACCCTCTACTACAGTGAGGAGGAAAGAGGACTGAACATTGGGCCACATTCTTCCGTGGCCCCCAAGGAAAGAAAAAGATTTAAGGCATCTTATGCTGAGCATAGACACTAGAAGATCTAAATCTTCCTGGCTAAATATTCTGTCTTTATTCCTTCATAATATGTAAATAAAGGCCGTTCTCCTCCTACCCCCTAAAAGCACTGCAAGCTTTGCTTATTCCTTAGAACTTTAGCAGACCTTTAGTATTCCTTTCTGTCAGAGAACCTTTCTGATGTGAGCCTAAGCTCTCTATGACTTTGCTTCCCCTTTGCATTTCAGACTGAAAAGGACATAATCCTGCGGGAGGACTTAGAGGAACTGCAGGCCCAGTATCCCAATCGCTTTAAGCTTTGGTTCACTCTGGACCACCCCCCGGAAGGTACCTTCCCCATTTCTGGGTATCCCAGTATCCCCTCATTATCAAAATCAAGGCATTGCCCCTCTGTGAGTTCTGGTTTCAGTGAAACCAGCCCTCCCTGACTGCCAAAGCCCCAAGTCTGAGTGCATAGACAGACATTAGTTTCCTAGTCTCTGCTTCCGGTTTGCTGGTGAGGGTGGGAGTGGTGTGGGGGAGGGAAGGTAGCTGCTGCTACAACCTGAGACCTTCTCAGGATCTCCTCAGGGATCTTCTCAATGGCCCATCATGGCATCAAATTCACTTGCCAGCATGGGTCTGGGAGCGTCAGTTCTCTCTTCTCCCTCACACTTCAGATTGGGCCTACAGCAAGGGCATTGTGACTGCTGACATGATCCGGGAACACCTCCCTGCCCCAGGAGACGATGTGCTGCTGCTGCTCTGTGGGCCGCCCCCAATGGTGCAGCTAGCCTGCCATCCCAACTTAGACAAACTCGGCTACTCACAAAAGATGCGATTCACCTACTGAGCGTCTCCCACCTCCCTGGTCCCACATCTGCAATTGTCCCCAGTTGGTACTCAAACACTATAAGCCCTAGATTCCTTTCCTGAGAGCATCAGCTTTTTCTGTCTTACTCTGAAACTGCAATCTGGATGGTACCTGCAGGAGAGCATTCCTGAAGCAATGTAAGGGGGGGGGGGCCAAGGCCAAGTTGTTCCTTAGAAGGCCCCCCAAATCTCCCTGTGATAAAAGGGCCAGGTGAGGTCCATGGAGCAGTTTCTTCCCTAGGTTCAAAAAGAAGAGAGAATGTACTTTTGTTCCAAGACTGGCAAGTTCCTTTATAGGAACTTGATGTGAACACTATCACCTTTGTGTCTGTGACAAATTTTTTTTTCGGGCGGGTTTGAACTCATGGTCTCGTGCTTGCTAGGCAGGTGCTCTTACCACTTGAGCCACTCCACCAGCCTTACCTTTGTGTGTATGATGAAAGGAACAGACTGTGCAATGTGTGTTTGTTAATATTTAGTGCTTAGCCCATGGGCAAATTCTGTTGATATGAGTGCAAGTTGAGTGAACTTGTAGAGATAGTAGGAAAGGAGGAAATAGTTTCTTCAGAATTCCAGACCTCAGATAAAGGAGTCTGAAGTATATATTTGTATGTCTGTCTTGGCCCTTGCCCAGGCTGGGGGAAAATGGCTGCCTGCTACCTAAGACAGTTGCTTGTATAAGGAACGTTCGGCTGTTCAAATAAATGGGGCTGAACCCTGATGTGATACCGAAGAGGTTGTTGTGTCTGGGGTCCTTTTTTCCAAATGCTTGAGGACTTTGGGAAGGAAGGCCTTTCAGCACAGAATCTCCTGGGTCTTCCAAAAGCCTTTGCGCAGTTGTGCTTTGTGCTGAAATGTGAGCTGCCACCACTTAGTGTTCATCTCTGCAGCTGTTTCTGTGGGCCAGCACTCAACTCCTCCAGGAGGCTTTTGCAGTGGGGGAGAAGAACATGTTAGAGGGGATGTTTTTAGAGCATAGTTATCCCTCTCAGTGATCCCTTGATTTGGCAGTTTTTCCCTCTCTTATTTTTGTTAGCCTTTCCTTCACCATATTTATCCTTCAGGTTACCTGGCAAACAAATCAAAGTATTGCCTTTCCATTTGGAAGCCTTCCCCTTTAAAAAGTAACTTGACATCACCTGCTCCAGACAGAGTTGGCCTCCCACAAGCCCATCTGTTCTAAGCGCCTTCTCTGCTGTGGGAGCTTGACCCAGTCCATTCCCTTCTCACAAGACAGGGCTTGGGCAACCTCTTCTAGTTCTTCTTTCTTAGTCCCATTGGGACAAAATGATGCTTTTGGTTCAGGAGGAAGGGCTACAATGTTTTTCTGTATAGAGCTACATGTTTCTGTCTCAGGGTTTCTGAGAGAAGGATTGTGACCCTCAGAATTCACCCCTCCATAAGGTAGATTCTTCAGTAAATTCTGTTGGCGGTATTCCATCAAATAGTTCTTTTGTTGTGTGTGTGAGTAAAGTGGAAGAGTTTATTGGGATAGAAAAGTAGCCGAGAGCTCCCAGAGCTGGGAGGACACCCAAGAGGGTGCTTGCTATAAATTTTTCTTGATCAGCTAGTATATGTGTGGTACCGTGCTCTGTAAGCCACCTCACCTCCTGAAAGGAAAATCTTGCTTAGGACTGTTGAGCTTAGTGAACCAGTTCAGCAAAGAGAACTTCCTACATGTTAGTTCACCATTCCTTGTTTCACACAGGAATGAGTGGGCCTCATCCCATCAACGTACAAACATTTACTGAGGACCTGTCATGTGCCCAGCACAGTGCTAGACTAAGAGTACAGCTATGACCAAGGCTGGTGTTAGACCCCCAAAGAACTCAAAGTCTAAGATGGACAAGTAACAGATCATCACAACAAATGGAAAGGGGTTAAGAAAGATTCAGAGGAGGAGGCAGAGGAGGAAGAAAATAAACCTCTGAGTTAATAGCCACATTCAAGGTACTGTGCTAAAAACTCTGTGTTGTATTGTTTAATCCTTATGCTAATCCTGTGAGTTGAACATTCCTTGAAAAAGGAAACAGCTGGATGGTGGCTAACAGAGCCTGAATTTGAATTTAGGATTATCTGAGGCCAAGATTTTTCAGCAGACAATGAGGGGAAAGGCAGTCCAAGAGAAGGATCGGCATGCAGAAGGCTGAAGGAGTGAAAGGGAAGTTCACATTCAGACAACTAGGAGAAGCTCATTGAGGCCCCGAACGGGAGAGGGAGATGGAAAATGAGGAGGCAGGGGAGCAGGTTAGAGCCAGTTTGCAAAGGGCCATGATGAAGAAACTTGAACTCAATCCAGTGGACGGACAGTGGGAAGTTTCTGAGGGCTTTATACAACAGACAACACACTGTTTTTTGAAGCAGTATTTGCCAGGCAGCATACTAAACCTTCATGAATTACCTCACAATCCTGCCAAAGACCCAGTGGAAATAGAACTAATTTTTCACCATTTTTCAGATGAGGTCATTATTATTTGGAGGGATTCAGCAATGTGCTTAAGATCATGGACTGGCTAGGAAAAGGAACCTGGATCTCTATGACTCCAAAGCCCAGGCTTTTATAACCAGAGTTGATCCCAGTGCCTTGAGGAGTACATCTAACATTATGAGTTCCTTTGAGAATGGGCCAAACTCCTGGGTTTCATAAGTCAGGTTCTGTCACTTGCCCCCAGATGCAAAAGAGACATGATGAAGGGCAGAGGTAGTGAAATCGGAGTTTTGGACCCAAGGCCCAAACTCCATATGAGATTCCATTTGCCAGGTCCAGCCACCCACCCCTAAACACCAAATAAAGAGGCTTGGTGAAGGCAGAGAAAGGACATTTATTACACGGCTTGGGGCATGCCATGGGAAGAGGCAGAATAAGCACTCATCTCATCTTCAGCCATCTTGAGGTACAGATAGGCGCTATAGGTTTAAGGAGACAAAAGAACTGGGGGCAGGGGACAAAGGTACACATAGTTAAACAGTCCCAGTCACAGGTGTGTTCTGGTTGACTATTATCTCAGTCCAAGGGTTCCCAGAAGGGTTAAGGAGAAGTTATTATCACTGTCATCGCTTGAGGGGAGCAATCTGGTTCCTATGAGATGATTGCTTCTGGTCCAGGGTGCAGCCTCATTATTACAGGTAATTGTCCTCATTTGGAGGGGTGGTCTGCCCTGAAAGTCTCCACTGTTCCTTATGGGAAATTTCAGTCCTTTGTCATAGAGATGTTACCAGTTCTGTCCTTTCTGGAATCCAAGGCAATTGCAAAGTGATTGCAAAGAGAATGACTTAGAGCAAAGACATAAAATGGAGGCAGGGATGCCAAGCTTCTGTTTTTAGTTAATTCGTGCTCCCAAGTAAGGAGTCAGTGCTTTTCAGCAAAAGCAATTTGAATGCCTCTTGGAAAGGTAGCATTTCAACCCCTCTTCCCTAAACAGACATTTGCTTTAGGTTTAAATAGGATTGGGGGCAGATGAAGGGGTTGCATAATTACTAAATAGTACCAGCCCCAAGTGTGTGGCCATAGGTGGCAGGTGACAGTCACAAGTGGGTTAACAGCTCCTCTCACGATTGGTCAGGTGGAGCCTTCTTACAATAAGAGTGACACCTGGCAACTGGTCTGGTCCTTCCTGGATTCCAAGATGATTGCAAAGTGACTGCCAGAGAATGGGTTAAGGCAAAAGACACAAGATACAAAATGGAAGCAGGGATGCCTAGCTTTTACCTTGCCTTCAGTTAATTTGTGGACCCAAGTAAGGAGTCAGTGCTTCTCAACAAAGGCAGCCTTCGGGCACCTGTTACACATTGTTGGTCAGCTCCTCAAATCATCTGTGTTATGAGGTTCAGCTGGGGAGGGAAGCACGCCCCTATATTGTCTCCCAGGATTGCTCTCTGGGTCACACGGGAGAAGCTAGAGCAGGGAGTGCTCAAGCAAGACTGGTTAAAAATAGTTTCGCCGTTCCTAACGGGAAAAAAAAAAAAAAAAGAACAGGAGCCAAAAAAACAAAACAAGAAAAGCCTAAAGTGCTTGTCATATGTTAGTTTCTCAATAAATAATGTGCAGAAAGAAGGAAGGGAGGGTCCATGAGGTAAGAGGGATTAAGAAGTGTTTCGGAGAATGGCCTTGGTAATGGAAGAAATACAGGTTATTCCCGGCCTAGACGACGGGGTGCACGGTAGGCAATTCGGCATTGCGTCGCAGGGCTCGCTCTAATTTTCTGTAATCTCTTCTCCATCACGCGCCCGCGTCCGTGCGCTGCAAGGCGGCGTTTGCAATTGGACAGTGCGCGACCAAGCCGGTGGCGACCCGAGCGCGCGACTGGAGCGGAGCCGGGAGCTGGGCCAGTGCTGGGAACGTGGGCGCGCGGGGCGTGGCCGGCCGGGTCGGGGGCGGGACTGGGGGCGGGGCGTGGGGAGCGCGCCTGTGATTGGGACTCGAGAGGAATGCCTGGGATTGGAGGGGGCGAGGTAAGAACTTCGAGGAGGTGACGCGGCTGCGGAGGTGACGCCGTGCGGTCGCGCGCCCCTTCCGGCGCGGGGAGGGCGCTGAAGATCTGAGGCCGCTCGGCCGCAGGCCGCCTCCAGCGCCGCAGGATGTAGCGCGGGGGACCGCGGCCCCCAGCAGAGCCTGCCCACCCTGCCGTAAGTGTCCCGGGGGGAGAGGGGCCTGGCCGGTGGACAAGGAGCTCGGCCTCAGCGCGCGGACCCGGCAGGCGCGGGTCCCGGCCAGAGGAGGGGACAGCCGCGGGGGTAGCCCGTCCGAGGGTCCCGCCCGACTCCCGCGCTGGACTCGCGGGCAGGGCCTCCCCCGCTTCCCCGCGACCGGGTTGTAAACATTTCCGGCCCCTCCCACTGCGCGCCGCCTCCTAGGCGGCCTCCCGAGAGCAGTCTTGGGGTGGTGGGCTGCTCCGCCCGGACCGTCCCCGGTAACCAGCAGCTCAGGTGAGTGCTGCGAACTCAGCCTCGCGGGGATTGAGACGTCCAGGTTCTGGCCTCGGTCGCGACCCCGACGACCCGAGGTGAACCTGCGAATTGGAAGTACGGGCCAGGGTCGTCTCTGCGGGGAGGGCCTGTCCTGGGGGTCCGGGGAACTCTTAAGGCTCCTAGTCCGAGAGTCTTCGGCAGGTGAAACCGTGACAGTGCCCTCATCTTGGTGGGGTTGGAGGGAAGGTTTGTTGATAGACAATCTCCGGGTTTAAGGTAAATCCTAAAAGCTGAAATGTGAACAAAATCTAAACTGCTTTAAGGAATGCCGAAATTTCACCCCCTCAGAAATTTAGGATTGATGTATGCTATCTTATATTTGAGAATGTGGGTCTTCAAGCCCGCGGTTTTTAGGAAATAAAAGAGATCGGTGCTTTCCCTCGGTTTCTGGCGCTTCTTGGGGGGAGACCCAGTTTCAGATGTCAGAGGAGCATGAGGAGGTCATGGAAAGTCTGCTAGGTTAACCAGAGTATTTCCCTCAAGTTTTTACGAGACTGGTTAGGAAACCCATCGGTGAATAGATAGGCTGTGGATGGAAATCAAGTGAAGATGGCAGTGGCTGGTTCTTTTCTGAACGGGGATGGTGGGGTCTGTTCACTGTTTTTCTCTTTAGGAAATGGCCAGTCAGGCTGTGAGGGTGCAGCTGCTGTTCCTGATGCTGTGTAGTGTGTGCACACTGCCAGGAATTTAGACAGGGTGGCGCTAGACAGATTGCAATGTCAGGGCTCCCGGCTCGCAGCCACTAAGCTGCTTTTCCTCCGGAGAAGTTTGTATTGTACCTGTATTGTGTTTGGTGCTTGGGAAATCAGTTTTAAAAACTGGTGTGATCTGAGAAGGTCCGTCTTAGTAGGTAGACCTTCACAAAACTTATACCTAATTACAGAGTAGAATCTGAAAACGTTGTGCTCTCAGTGGTCCTCAGGAGTAAGTAAATAAGTGACCATTTTGCCTGCAAATAGGAATCTCAGAAAAGTATCAGCAAGCAGCATTAATTCACCAGGCTCTCCATCACTAATGGATAAAGTACACTACCTTAAGTGGTGTATTTAAGGCTTTTAGGCTGTGTTGGGTTCCTCCCATCTGGCCTAATTTTACCTTTCCAAAACTCCTTATGGAAAAATGAATTATTCACTGTCCTGGTGCTCTGTTCTTTCATGCCCTTGTTTACATCACGTACCCTCCCAAAATGCCCTGCCACTACCTTTGCCTGTCTTTAAAGAAAGATCCTTTCTTTAAATCCTTCCACAAGACTTTCCTGATCGCTTCAACTAAACTTCACCTTTTCTTCTGAATTCTTCCAGCACTTAATGGTACTTAGCCTTGCAGTATGTTGGGAGAAAACAAGTTATTTTCTCTTAAAATAGAGACCCAGCAACCATTGTAAGCCTCTGTGTCCTCTCTTTGCCTTGACTTTGTAGCCACACCATGTATATTATGTTAATCAATAGGTATCTTCAGATTAATAAAGGTGCCCTTCTTTCCAGGCCAGGAAATTTGCTCTCTAGTTCCCTAGGAAATTTCCTTTAACTTTTTTGGTATAAAGTCATCAAATCAAGATCACTTTGGTGAACTGAACAGTCATATTTAGATCTAGAAGCTTTATTAATAATGGCAGGGGTTTTTTTGTTTTTGTCTTGTTTTTTTTAATTCTCGTGCTGGTACTCATCAAAATTGTTACATTTTGTCCTTAACATCCATTTGTCTCTATGTCACCCATGGGACTTTGTTCCATCCACCATATTCAAGTTGATTGCCTTTTGCTGCTCAAAAATGTTGGGGGCGTGATTAGTGTTTATAAAGTTTGTAGCTGCCTTGGATTGAAAAGATCTTTCAAAGTGCCCTGTAGCCAAACTAGTTCCAATTGATTGGCTTTTAGGCATGCACCTAGTTTGCTTTTGTTTCACTGGGACTCCTGGGGTACACAGTGCAGCTATGTTTTCCAAATATCTGTAATGCACTTGAGAGATGGTATTAAAAACAGGATTAGCTGGGCACTAGTGGCTTACACCTGTAATCATAGCTACTTGAGACAAGATCCAGAGGGTCACAATTCGAGGCCAAATAGTTCTCCAAAATAGAGCAAAAAATGGACTGGAGATGTGGCTTGAGCAGTAAAGTGCCTGTTTTGCAAGTGTGAAGCCCCGAATTCAAACCACAGTACTGGTTTTTTGTTTTGTTTTGTCATGGCATTAGAAAAGTTTACCTGTGTCTGTTTGGGACCAAAAAGACTCTTCTGTTGGGATAGCTTTAACTGGAGAACAGCCATGAAGGAAGTTAGATTGTGATTTTCCCCTTCAGATTCTGAGTCAGTGACACTTGGTCATCATTAGGAGAGCTGAGGCCCTATTGCTGCAGTTTGGTAATTTCAAACATACGCCTTTGCCTTGACTCCTTTTTTCCCCCAACAGAGCTATGAAACTACCTCCCTAAACAAATAGGAGACAGGATGAGTCTTTGTCTATCTGCTTTAGAACAATGAGAATGAAGCTACCCACAGAATCTGTATGGGTCTAGGAACCCCAGATAAAAATTTCTATAACCTTTGAGCCTCTGACTCAAGGGAAAGAATGTGTCATAGCTGGAAATTTTCAGAATAAATGTCTCTAAAAACTCTAAGGGAAATAACTATCCCACTAACTGGCGATTAAGAATCAACATCAACCTTTTCTTCAAGTTTGGTGCAGGATTATCCTTTTTATAGCAACACAAACACGTCCCTGCTTACATGGCTTTACTCTGATAGTCTAGGTTTATCCATTTGAAAAGCTTAGTGGTAAAGGTTTATCAGCTTGAGTTTAAGAAATCCCATCAAAAATGATAATTGAGCAGTAGAGTTTGGCTCAGTTATAATCTGCTGTGCTGGGTGTGGCAAGTTTCAGAGGAAAGGTGTTTCCTCTAAAATAAGGCGGCATAGAAAGCTGGCAGAAAGTTGGAGTATATTTTGGCTCTCCTGAGACTCCCGGAATTGGTCTAACACCTTAGAGGTTTGTGCTGATTGTATGCAACAGACTCACACTTGCTTGTAATTCTCAGTTGTTTGTGAGTGATCACCCCATATAAGTGCTATTTTCAGGGCCTGGTGTTACTTGCTCTTTTTTCTTGCCAGACCTCCAATCCCTGTCTTTCCCTTTCCTGTCTCTGTGTTGCTACAGTTTAGAAGACCAAACTGGACAATGGACTTTGCTCACTATGATGACATGATCTCCATTGACCTCCATTGTATGTACTTTAATGCATGATGATATATTTTGTATGGTGAGTTGTAGCTGCTGACTGGTTTGTGAGTTAACTGGGTTGTCTGTTAGGTTTGGTGACTCTGGGTCTAAAAGATGGGAGGGGTGAGGAACTAGTGATATAGGAACTGGAAAGAATCAGAAAAATTAACAGAAAGTGATTTGAACTGAGAAGGGTAAAAATTTTGATGATGGCCAAGAGACTTGAGGGCATCAACACTTCAGACAGAATGAGGAAATTAGCAAGAATACCACACTGGATTCTGCTGCTGTTTGGACCGTACTTGTCCAACTTAAAGTTTGTATTGTTCTCACTTCCTCTAGTAAAAGAGTTACATAGTGCTCCAGATAGCTGAATTAAGTGTGTTGTCATCTAGTCGAGGATTCTCTTCCTTCACTGCCCCCAACTATGAAATTGTATCCCTTAATTGAGACGTATCACACACTGCCTTATGCCCACCAATGACAGGTTCTTTGAAGGCAGTGACATAACTTACTCAACTTTGTATTCTGCACAGGGCCTTAGGATGCATTAGGGTGCTGGTACTAAATACATTTGTTAAATATGTGAGTGTGTTGGCTTAGTCTGGGGAAAGGGATAAGGGTGCCACAGAATAAGACAAAGTACACAAACCTTAGCTAGTGCTAAGAGCTTAGTTATGTTTGTTTGCTAAATCTGCCTCATTTATTCATTCACCTTGAAATAAGGGTTTTGACCAATTTATGGATACACATCATTTTATGATCCATGTACTATTGCATCCCAGGCCCTAAGTGCTTTGCTTTGCTTCACTCTGCCATGGTGGCGTGCTCTAAGTTACTGGGAACAGTATTTTAAGCTTTGTGTGCTCTTTTCAGACTTCTCCAAAATGCCCAAAGCTATTTGTTTGTTTGTTTTTGCTTAATAGTATAAATTATTTCTTAGTAAAGCTGTTTATTCAGTATACTTCAAGTTGAGGAAGTATGTTTTGAGGTCAGCTATTGAGAAAGATTTTCCAATGTTTTCTTCTCACGTGGGTTGCCTATCTCCTGAGGTTTTCAGGGGCCTCCAGTTTCCTGTTCTCCTTGAGCACAGTTGCTGATTATGGCTGTGCTGGCATCTGCTTGTCACAGTCTTGCATGCTTAAAGGAAGAGGAACTAAGTGTTGACACCATATAAAGTTCTGCTGTACATTGAGTTATTGTTTGTGTCTCTTGGACTAGATTTGTCTCTTGCTTTCAGCTGTACTTGTAGGGTGAGTATAGCATGATGCATGACTGTTCTGAAATTTGAGGATTGCCCTCACCTGAGGGCAGATTAAAGTATTAGTCAAAGATTTCCAGAAAAAGCCAATAGGAGAGAGAGAGAGGAAGGGAGGGAGGGAGATAGATAGATGGATGGATGGATGTTAACTCCATTATAGGCCATCTGCAAGCCAGAGAACCACGAGATCCAATGGTCTCTCAACCCAAGACTAAGAACCTGGGGGCCATTGGTACATGTCCAAGAGAAAGAAAGAGAGAATATATTCATCTTTCTTCTCTTTTTTGTTTCTGTCTCGGCCCTCAGCTGATTAGATGAGAGTTATTCTTCCTTACTCAGATTGCTAATTCATTGCCAGTTTCTTCCTGAAACACCTCACAAATGTACCAGAAATAATGCTTTCTGGATATCCATCATTCCAGTCAAGTTGACACCTAAAATTAATCATGTGATCTGACAGCTCATACTCAGTTACAATCCTTGAACAGGAACTGTGGATAAAAACTAGTACAAGATGCAAAGATGTTTGTCTGTTTAGTGAGCAGCCATGGGTGATATAGTGTCTCCTTTGGGAGCAAAGTCATGTTTACTTCCCAGTACAATAGAATTGGGCTCCCTTAAGCTTCTTTCTCTCCCAACATGCAACCCAGTCCAGTTCTTCTCTGCATTGCCCAGTGGTTATTGGGACAATGCAAGAAAATGCCAATATTCTAACTATTACTTTTACCCTGAATAATAAAGTCCTTTGTCTGTGAGAGGCAGAAGAGAAGAACCAGTAATTTACAACACAGTAGAAATGTTTGGAAACTTTTCTGTATTACTTATGTGTCCCTAAGGCCTAATTAAAGCTTCCTACCTAAAGTCCAGCCCAGGAAAATTTAAACTGTTTCTGAGACTTTCCTGAGAAAACTGAATTCTAGGTTTCTCTGGCTTTCCTAAAGGATCTGTGTGCCTGTGTCTAGCTTCTGAAATTTGAGTGGGTCTTAGATTATAGGCTATGATGGTTGAGACAAACTCTTGCGGAGCTAGTGATTAGGTACATGTGTGGCAAAGGGCAAACTTAGGTCTGCCTTCTTGTCTTCAACTTCCTGCTTCCAGGTAAGTTATTGCTTGCTTTAAAGGAGGGGTATGAAGAAAGCTTGTTGCCTAAGTGTTAAACCCAGGGTAGAATCCTGAAATAGAATTAGTAGATTTTTAACAGGCGTGAGCCACTCACACCTGTAATCCCATCTACTGGGGAGGGGGAGATTGGAAGGGAGGATCAGGCTAACCTAGGCAGAGAGTTAGTGAGACTCCACCTCAACCAAAAAGTTCTGGGTATGGTGGTGCTTGCCTGTCATTTCAGCTACGTGGGAAGCTGTAAGTGGGACAATTGCTGGCTGACCAGGGCCATCTGGGCAAAAAATGTGAGGCACTACCTGAAAAACAACTAAAGCAAAAAGGGTTGGGAGTGTGGCTTAAGTGATACAATACTTTCTTAGCAAGCACTTAGGCCCCGAGGTTTGACCTCAGTCCTGTCCCCCAACAAAAAAAAAAAGAAAGAAAAGAATTAGTAGATTTTGTAGAGAAATCAATCACTGAGTATCCATCCCACACTATACCATATTCCTTTTGTATGCAAGGCACAGTGTGGGAACATTTGTAGATAAAGTCCAACTTAGTTTAGTTGGCATTTAATTCATTACTTGTAGTATTGTAGCCAGGTGTTAACTTCATAATTTTGTTCCTCGATCTCAGGGCCAGGCCTTTCTTGGGCAGAATGAGTTTTGGAAATGGTAGGCAAGACTCTGTGCTAAAGAGGAAGAGGCTTCATTCCTTGGGAGAGACTTTCGGGTAGGGACTTTTTTTTTTTTTTTTTTTTTTTTGTGGTGACAGTTTGGAGCAGTAACTGTAGATCCTGTGAAGGAAAGAAACTAAGTGTTATGTTTTCAGCCTTACCTGTAAGATCAGTGAGGTTGTGGATAAAGGGTGATATTAAAGAGAGGACAAGGAATAGATATCACTTAAGTGATGAGTTAGGCTTTACATTTGGAGACAGGGCATAAAAGCTAATTAGCTGTGTCTTATTCAGTGTTGAATTACAGAAATGAAACTCTTAAGAGAAGTAAATTGCCAACACCCTTCATGTTTGTGTTTGTTTTTAGTGTCTACCATCACAGGGAGATCTCTGCCCCTTGGGGCTGAGAGACCCCATCTTTTCCCCAAGCTGAAGCTGCAGGGTATCGAGGCACCAACCAGATGTCTTCCCACAAAGGATCTGTGGTGCCACAGGGCAATGGGGCTCCCACCAGTAACAGGGAGCCTGACACGGTGGAACTGGCTGAGCTGGGACCCCTGCTGGAAGAGAAGGGCAAGCGGGTAACTGCCAATCCAACCAAAGTAAGTGACCTCCAGGAGCCAGTTCCCTGACCAGCCTCTCCCCAGACCTCTGTCAGTCTCTGTTTGAAGATCTTACCTTCCTTCTGAAAGGAAGAACCATAGTACCATAGCACCCTGGGAATATCTCTGTCCAAGTGCTTATTGTACTGTCTTTTGGTTTGTGTTTGTCACTATAAGCTTTGGGAAGTTCACTCCCCCAAAGTGCTGAACACTTTTGTATCCCCAGTGCTTAGCACAAGGCCTGAAATCCAGTAAGGAATTAGTAAATGTCCATGAATGAATGTAGGAAGCAGTCAATTAGGGTTAGTTTTGACTTCTTGTAACCAAAATCTTTACCTTCTAACAAGTTGGAAGTGTCTCTCAAATTAAAAGACTCAGGAAATAACCAACCAAAGGCTGATATGGAGGCTCCACTACTGTCAGGCACCTGCCCTGATCCTTCATCATTCAGAAATGTTGTCTCCTCCTTTTATGGCCACATTCCACCCACTATGAACGAGAAGGGCTCGCCCTTTCCCTTTTAAAGAGAGTATCAGGAAGGATCTCACAACATTTAGGCCAGAACTTAGTTGAGTATTTACACTCAGCTGCAGTGAAGGTTAGGAAATATCTTTTCAGTGGGCTTGAATAAAATTGTAGTAATGTTGCTATCCTGAATAAAACCAAGGACTGAGGATCATGGGTTGAAACTAGCCCCAGGCGACCTGCCTGGCAAGGGTGAGGCCCTGAGTTCAAACCCCAGTATGGCAATCAATCAAATAAATAAATAAATAAAACAAAACCAAGGACTTTGTTCTTAGGAGCAAAGAGAAAAAATGGTTCCTGGGGTATGCAAGCCAGAATTTACATGATAAAATCTGAGAGGGACCATGTGCCTACCTGTGACCTTCAAAAAGAGAAAAGAGAGCAAGCAGAGAAGGAGCTGGGGGCCAGGCTTCTCATCTGCATGGTAGGGAGCCTGGGACTAGGAGAAAAGTCTGTCTCCTTCTTCATAGGCAAGCTGTACCACGTGCGGTCAGTTGGAGCCAGGAGTCAGTACTGCTGCTTTGCATGAACCAGGTTAGAGGCCCAACACTTCTGGGAGCTGTTACGGATACAAAGTTGCAGTAATGATAGATAGCATCCCCAGAGTAGGTGAGCAGACAACTACAACAGGATTATTAAGGAAATCTTTGGGACTGTCTTTTTTATCATTTTGAAATTTAGTGACCTGGAAAACTATTTGGGAAATTGGGGAAAGTTGAGAACTACTTGTCCTAGAGAAGTCATAGCATACAGCTAGGGCTTGTGTGCCCATCTGTGTCCCTTCCATGCTAGTCTCCGTCAGTCTATCCTCTACGTGGAATAGAACTTTCAGTGTGGCATTTATAAAGTATTAATAAATCTCAGTACGTATCATACTTTTGGAGAAGAAGCTGAAGGTCCTGTGTAGGAGAGAGGACGAGCAGAATGCCTTGCTCTGGATCTGACTTGGAGTGGTACCTTTAGGAGATGACTCCCTGGATTTTTTTTTTTTTTTTCTTCAGACTGAAGAAGAGCAAACATGCCCAGTGCCTCAGGAAGAAGAGGAGGAGGTGCGGGTACTGACGCTTCCCCTACAGGCCCACCATGCCATGGAGAAGATGGAGGAGTTTGTGTATAAGGTGGGGCTAGAACTTCTGTTCTGGAAGGGAAGGGTAGCAGTCTTATTTGGAATACTCCCAGCTGGCAAGCTTGCCTGGGGTTGAAGAGCTTTTACTCTTGTAGGTATGGGTTTTCGGTTAGGGTGAAGTAAATCAAGGTGAAAACTGGCTACATTTTTATTGCCTACTGTGTTAGACATTGTTCAAGATAGACTCTGAAACAGGGCTTCTTGGGCTAGGGGCTAGCAGTGTGGCACAGGTGGTAGAACTCCTGCCTAACAAGTGTGGGGCCCTGAGTTCAAACCTCAATACTGCCAAAATAAAATAAAACAGGGGTATCTGAACTTTTTTTAGTACTGTGAATTCTTATGGCAGTCATCAAAATATTTAAATATAGTAATATGGGTTCCTTTATTAACACATTAGATATGTATTAATGATAAGCCCCCTAACATTTTATTAAAGCTTGTAATTTGTAAGTAGTGATGAGTAGAAATAGTATTTTGAGGTGTTTGTAAAATCCACATATAAAAATGTCTGTTGTTGGTTTTTCTGTCATCGTTTTTTGGCTCTGGGAATCAAAACCAGAACCTTGTGTGTGCTGTGCAAGCACTCTACCACTGAGCTACATCCCCAGCCCTAAAAATGCCTGTGATTTCTATTGGTGACAAAGCCACAAGTTGTAATACCACTGACGTCTGTTGTTTACATTTATAATTGAGGAAAATGTTAAATTTAATTAGAGATAAATGAGAATAAAGATGCTTTTGTCCATCCAAGTTTATACCTACTCTGGATTCTGTCCATTATGCACGGGTCCTCTGTTAAGAACCACTGCTACAAAGATGTAGCCCAAGCCTGGTAAAAACTTAAGAATGTAACTGGGGGAACGATGGAGCAAGCAGGCAATCTACCAGAAGACAGAGCAGAAGGACCACCTGTATGTTCATAAAAACCCTCTCTATAATTTGTTTTCATTCACTATTACAATTTTGAAATTTCAAGGAGTCTAAAGGAAGTTGTGCCATAAAGTAGTCAAAATATGGATCAGTACTCTGCTATCCCCATTGGTGTTGTGTCTTGGTTATCTCCTGGTCCAGGCTTATCCTGGTATTCTTGGGAAAGCTAGTGTTCTCTATGGACCTCCCTAGAGCCATTGTATCTGTCCCAGGTCTGGGAGGGACGTTGGAGGGTCATCCCTATGATGTGCTTCCTGACTGGCTGAAAGACAATGACTACCTGCTACATGGCCATAGACCACCGATGCCCTCCTTTCGGGCTTGCTTCAAGAGCATCTTCCGCATCCACACAGAAACTGGCAACATCTGGACCCATTTACTTGGTGAGTGCTTTGGAGGGGGAAAAATTCAGTATTTGTCCCGTTTACCGCCAAGAAATTAGAAAGCTTTGGTCAAATATTGTGAGAGGCATGCTGGAGGGCATGTACACTAGACTATAAGCTCCATGAGGCTGGGAATTTTACTGCTGAGTCTATACAGCCTTAACATTGACTAGGATTTTTTGTTATCTCCAGTACTTATTTGCTAAATGAATCAAAAGGAGAACATGTAAATACTTGAAAATGGTGTACAGAGAAGGAAACATTCAAAATAAAATCATTCAGGGGAATGAGTATTTGTTGAAATGCAGAAAACCACTGGATACTGCATCCTGTCACACTAAAATGGTGTTATCCTGTTGCAAAAAAGAAAAAAGTCTTTGTTGATGAGGAAGAAGAACAAAGTTGTTCTGATTGATTTTATACCTGGAATTGTGCCCTTCAAGTCCCTCGGTTGACCCTTGATTACCGATCTTCAAGACCGAGGTTGGAAGGTCTAGAAACAGAAGAAACTGGAGCTAGATGTTCTCTATGACCCCTGGTAGAACTGTTGGCGATGGAGAGGACCCCTTCTACTTCATAATTTCCTATTGTAAAAACAAATGTGAGCATTTCAAAAAATGGTCTTTCTGGCTGGGTTTTTATGACTCGTGCCATTTTCTACTGAAAGTTTTGACTGCAGTTCTCACAGCTAACCCCACAGTTCAGTGATTTAAAGCCATCATCAAAGAACACACAGTCCTTTTTTCTCACAGGTTTTTCTTCTTTCTCCCTCGTGTAGGTTTTGTGCTGTTTCTCTTCTTGGGAATCCTGACCATGCTCAGACCTAATATGTACTTCATGGCTCCTCTACAAGAGAAGGTGGTTTTTGGAATGTTCTTTTTGGGTGCAGTGCTCTGCCTCAGCTTCTCCTGGCTCTTCCACACGGTCTATTGTCATTCAGAGAAAGTCTCTCGGACTTTTTCCAAGTGAGTTGAAACAATAGCAGTAGGAAGAATGTGCACACTTGTCAGGTCCTGTGGTCTCAATGCCGGCTGGGTGCTGAGAACCCTCTAACTCCCGGGAGTCCCTGGTATGCCCACGGAAAGGCTTTCTGTTCTGTGGGTATAGTGACGTGATGAAGCTTTTCTTATAAACGTGTCATGAAAAAACTTACTGTAGCCTCAACAGATGGAAACCATTGTGGGATGTATTTTCTGCCTGTACAGTACTAACTTTCATGAAACTTCATTGCTTCCAAGACCTTGTACCCATTGCTAGCTTATCTTCCTCTTTTTTTTTTTTTTCTTCAATACTAAGGCTTGAACTCAGGACCTTCTTGAACCAATCCACCAATACTTTTTTGTGATGGGTTTTTTTGGGATTGGGTCTCTTGAACTGTTTGCCTGGGATTGGCTTTGAACCGTGACCCTCCTGATCTCTGTCTCCTGAGTAGCTAGGATTACAGGCGTGAGCCACCAGCAACCAGCTTATCTTCCTCTTGGCCCAGGCTAAGTGGGGTGTAGCAAGCAGTCTGTGCTTCATTCTGCTAGTGCTCCTGCCCACCAGTCAGAGCTTATCTCTCCTGCTCAGGCATTGCTGGAAGCCCCAGGAGTACATCTGATGCTTTCCCTATTTCCTGACTTTGAGCCTAGGGTTCTGTTTACACATGTGCTTATTTTTGTTATTACTGCTGGCTTTGGTAGTGATGGTAGCAAGCAACAAGAATACATTTTTCATCTTTAAAAGAGCTAATGCCAAGGCTGGCAGTGTTGCTGAAGTGTTTGAGCACCTGTCTGGCAAGCACAGGCCCTAAGTTCAAACTCCAGTACCACAGGAAAAAAAAAAAAACTGATGCCAGGCATAATGATACACATCTGTAGTCCCAGATACTCAAGAAGCTGAGGCAGGAGGATCACTTTAAGTCCATAAGTTTGAGGCCAGCCTGAGCAACATAGACACTACCAAAAAAGAAAAAAAAAGCCAAAAATGTCAGTGAAAAGAGAATAAGCAAAAGTACCACTTAATAATACACCTAAGGAGATTGTTTTTAGAACTTGTTATAGAAGATTGGGGAGTTACTCAGAGTACTTCCTGAGTATGATGATGGGGACCATCTGGATTATGACAGAATCTGTAAATTCAATCATGCACTAAGGGATACAGCTCTTCACAGCTAAGGACAAGGGATAGCGTTCTATGAGCAGATTCTTAGAGGATTTTCTATTGTAAAATAGAAGTGCTTGGCCTTGTGGAGTTTTTTGTTGTTGTTTTAGTGATACTGGAGCTTGAACTCAGGGCCTTGAACTTGCTAGACAACTGTTCCAGCACCTGAGCCAGACTCCAAGCCCCCTCGTGGAGTTGTTTTTTGATTGAGTGGGTTTTTTTTTGATTTTTTGAGTTTTTTTTTTTTTTTTGGTGGGATGGGGTTTGAACTCAGGGCTTCACACTTGCAAAGCAGGCATTCTACTGCTTGAGCCACCTTCCAGCCCATTTTGCTCTGTTAATTTGGAGATGGGCTACCCTCAAACTCAGTCCTCTTGATATCAGCCTCCCAAGTAGCTAGGATTACAGGCATGATCCACTGGTGTTTGGATCCTCTTGGAGTTTTAATACAGGATATGGGTTAGATTTATGGGAAGTAACAAGAGGAAGGGTAGTCAAATCTGGAAGCAGGTAAAGAACTAGTTCAATGAGCCATAGAAATTCTTCAGTTCTTGTTTTTTTTTTGTTGTTGTTCATTTGTTTTTGTGGTGCTTGGGGATTGAACTCATGACCTTGAGTATGCTGGGCAGGTGCTCTACCACTGAGCTACATTCTCAGCCCAGCTCTTTTTTTTTAATGTTACTAATAGTAGAATATTTTTGAGACATAGAGAATTGGGTGCTAGTTCTGCATTGGTGTATTAAATTTTTACCTTGGAAATTTTTTTAGGTAACTCTTAAATTACAACCACATACATAAAAACTTTTTATGCTGCCTTTTTTTTTTTTTAAATGAGACCAGGATTTGAACTCAGCTTATCATTTACAAAGTAGGTGCTCTACTGCTTGAGCCATGTCTCCATTCCATTTTGCTGTCATGATTTTGGAGATGGGGTTGCAACTATTTGCCTGGGCTGGCCTTGAACTGTGATCCTTCCTATCTCAGCCTCCCAAGTAGCTAGGATTACAGACTTGAGCTACTGGTACCCTGCTCTTCTATCATATATATAATATTTACTCCTACACTTTACATTTTGCAACTTTTTCAAACGTTTGGAGTTTTTCCAGTATCCTTTTTCATTTTGGAGCAGTCTTTTAGAAAAAAAAAAACCCTTATTACCAGGCACTGGTGGCTCATGCCTATAATCCTAGCTACTCAGGAGGCAGAGATCAGGAGGATCAAGATTCAAAGCCAGCCCACAGAAATAGTTTGCAAGACCCTATCTTGAAAAACTCTTCACAAAAAAGGGCAGGTGAGTCACTCAAGGTATAGGCCTTGAGTTCAAATCCTAGTACCACAAAAAAAAAAAAAAAAAGAAAAACCTTATTTTATAAAATCTTTCCTCACCCAAAAGCATTTCCTTTTCCCTATAACTTTTTCAAAAATATGTTCATATACCTTCCTTAGATATCTTTCGTATTTGTTCATTCTTTTTTTGTCTGTTTAATCTATATTTTGGAATAACTTTTACAAAAATTTTGAACTTAGACAAAAATGTTTATTTTTTTCAATAAAATACTCATAGTAACCTTTTATTCTAATGAACAACCAGGAAGAAAGTCATCTTAAGCTGTCTTTTAATAACAATAACAATTTATTTTAAGAGAGTTGAATCCAAATTACATTTCTGACAACAGATTAAGATCATTTGTTTAAATAACCAAACTTTAATATCCTTTTGTAAGTAGTTATAGCAACTCCTTAAGTTTAAAATGACACCCTTTTCGTGGGATGTATTTTCTATCTGAACAGTACTATCTTCCATGAATCTTGGGATGCCAGCAGGTTGCATTCCAAGACGGTGTACCCAGCACTAGCTTATCTTCCTCCTGGGCTAAGTCAGAGTGGGTTGTAGCAAGCAGTCTGCTCTGTTCTGATAGTGCTCCTGCCTGCTAGCAGGCCAGAGCCTGAGCGAACTCTTGAGTGCCTGTTTATTATCAGTCCTTGAGTACCACACTAACTTCATGATGGTAGTTTAAGAACCATCTTAATGACGGTTAAAAAAAAAAAGATGGTTAACACATACATATATGCACTAAAAAAGGTTTTTAAATAGGCATACCAAAAAAATGTCAATTTTGTGTAGATTAAAATAAGCAAGAAAATGAAAGACAGCTATAACTAGTCAGTTTTTTTTTTTCCCTTGAATTCCAGGGGCAGGTTATGTTTTTGCCTAATACTTAACAAATACACAAAGTAACAGTAACAATTATATTAATTTAGAGTACCCTTAGACAAACCTTTTAGTCATAGATTTGTTTATAGAGTTCAAGTCTACCACTGGTTTGTTTCATTTCTATGACTTTTTTTTTTTAGACTGGATTATTCAGGGATTGCTCTACTGATTATGGGGAGCTTTGTCCCCTGGCTGTATTACTCCTTCTACTGCTCCCCACAGCCTCGGCTCATCTACCTCTCCATCGTCTGTGTCCTGGGCATTTCTGCCATCATTGTGGCACAGTGGGATCGGTTTGCCACTCCTAAGCACCGGCAGACAAGAGCAGGTGAGTGGGAAAACACAGTGTAACCTTCTGAGGTCCTGGGCTTTGGCCCTGGTCAGCCCACACCTGGGTCCTGAGAATTGCAGCTTGTAAAACCCACCCAAACCTGATTTACATTTAGAACTTTCAAAGGGACATTAATTTTCTTTTTTTTTTTTTATTGTTTTATTATTCATATGTGCATACAAGGCTTGGGTCATTTCTCCCTCCTGCCCCCACCCCCTCCCTTACCACCCACACCACCCCCTCCGTCTCCCCCCCATCCCCTCAGTACCCGGGCAGAAACTATTTTGCCCTTATTTCTAATTTTGTTGAAGAGAGAGTATAAGCCCATAATAGGAAGGAACAAGGGTTTTTGCTGGTTGAGATAAGGATAGCTATACAGGGAGTTGACTCACATTAATTTCCTGTGCGTGTGTGTTACCTTCTAGGTTAATTCTTTTTGACCTAACCTTTTCTGTAGTTCCTGGTCCCCTTTACCTATTGGCCTCAGTTGCTTTTAAGGTATCTGCTTTAGTTTCTCTGTGTTAAGGGCAACAAATGCTAGCTAATTTTTTAGATGTCTTACCTATCCTCACCCCTCCTTTGTGTGCTCTTGCTTTTATCATGTGCGCAAAGTCCAATCCCCTTGTTTTGTTTGCCCTTGATCTAATGTCCGCATATGAGGGAGAACATACGATTTTTGGTCTTTTGGGCCAGGCTAACTTCACTCAGAATGATGTTCTCCAATTCCATCCATTTACTGGCAAATGATAACATTTTGTTCTTCTTCATGGCTGCATAAAATTCCATTGTGTATAGATACCACATTTTCTTGATCCATTCGTCAGTGGTGGGGCATCTTGGCTGTTTCCATAACTTGGCTATTGTGAATAGTGCCACAATAAACATGGGTGTGCAGGTGCCTCTGGAGTAACCTGTGTCACAGTCTTTTGGGTATACCCCCAAGAGTGGTATTGCTGGATCAAATGGTAGATCGATGTCTAGCTTTTTAAGTGTCCTCCAAATTTTTTTCCAGAGTGGTTGTACTAGTTTACATTCCCACCAACAGTATAAGAGGGTTCCTTCCCCCCCCCCCGCCCCTCCCCCGGCATCCTCGCCAACACCTGTTGTTGGTGGTGTTGCTAATGATGGCTATTCTAACGGGTAAGGTGGAATCTTAGTGTGGTTTTAATTGCATTTCCTTTATTGCTAGAGATGGTGAGCATTTTTTCATGTGTTTTTTTGCCATTTGAATTTCTCCTTTTGAGAAAGTTCTGTTTAGTTCACTTGCCCATTTCTTTATTGGTTCATTAGTTTTGGGAGAATTTAGTTTTTTAAGTTCCCTATATATTCTGGTTATCAGTCCTTTGTCTGATGTGTAGCTGGCAAATATTTTCTCCCACTCTGTGGGTGTTCTCTTCAGTTTAGAGACCATTTCTTTTGATAAACAGAAGCTTTTTAGTTTTATGAGGTCCCATTTATCTATGCTATCTCTTAGTTGCTGTGCTGCTGGGGTTTCGTTGAGAAAGTTCTTACCTATACCTACTAACTCCAGAGTAGTTCCTACTCTTTCCTGTATCAACTTTAGAGTTTGTGGTCTGATATTAAGATCCTTGATCCATTTTGAGTTAATCTTGGTATAGGGTGATATACATGGATCTAGTTTCAGTTTTTTGCAGACTGCTAACCAGTTTTCCCAGCAGTTTTTGTTGAAGAGGCTGCTGTTTCTCCATCGGATATTTTTAGCTCCTTTGTCAAAGACAAGTTGGTTATAGTTGTGTGGCTTCATATCTGGGTACTCTATTCTGTTCCACTGGTCTTCAAGGGACATTAATTTTCAAAGCTCAATTCTCCCCAAGCTCATACTATTTCAGTAGATTGGTAACTGAACACATCATTCCCAGCTTGTTGATTAGCTTTAAGCAATCAACCTTATTTTTAAGGTTTAAAAATAAAGCAAGCACAGTCATTTTAGTGACCTGAGTCATCAGTACTCAAAGCAAGCAAGGGATTCAAATTAAAATACCCAGAGGCGTTTTACTAAAGGAATGGAATACCTTGTTTGGTTTATAAAATAACTTGAGCATGAAAACTAGTAGCAACTAATTTAATAGCTATAAGCACAAATATCTTTGTGTTGACTCGTCTGGACTCTTATTTTAAGCTTTTATTACTTGTCAGCAATTACCACTTGTTTTCAGCCCCTTCAGTCTTCTTAGTACCTGTTGTGTTTTAGCCTTCAGCTAAAAGAATTATATGTTTATCAACCACCAACCATTGGCAGGCACTGTGCTTAAACAAGGGTATTTGCAAAGACGACATTCCTGCCCCTTAGTTCTGTACAGTGGAGCAGTATGGAGACAAGTATCCATTCTTCCCTTGCTCTTGCCTTATTTATGTCTTTCAGCAGCTTTGGGAAACTGCTCATCTGCATGTATCTATGGGAGATCAGAGGCCTTGTTACTTAAGTCTCTTTCATGATCTTAATGGGAAATCTATCCTATACTTCTCTGGTTTGGGAGCCAGCTGAAGACTTGGCATCTAGGATCTGTACCCAAGTCAGCCATCAGAGAGCTTTAACATACTATTTCTGCCTGGGCTCCTTAACATATAATAAAGACTATGAGGTATTGGGCTGGGGACATAGCTCAGTGGTAGAGCACTTACTTAGCATATGCAAGCCCCTGAATTCAATCTCTTCAGCACTGTATTTAAAAAAAAAAAAAAAAAGCTGGGCACTGGTGGCCTGTAATCCTAGCTACTTGGGATGCAGAGATCACTGAGAGTTGCAGTTTGAAGCTAGCCCTGGGCAAATAGTTGGTGAGACTCTATCTCAAAAATACCCAACACAAAACAGAGCTGGTGGAGTGGGTGTGACAAGTGATAGAGCGCCTGCCTAGCAAGTGTGAGGCCCTGAGTTCAAATTCCAGTAACACCAAAAAAAAAAAAGAGAGAGAGAGAGGTAGAGATGTTTGTTTTGGTGTTCCTTAACAGGTAAGTGCTTACACAACCTTATTCTCATTCTGGGCACACCAAAACTGTCTGTTACCCATCTTGTGGCCAAACTTCCAAACATGTATTATTCAGAAAGTAGTTCTTAGGATAAACGCAGAGTCCAGAGTCAGGCAGCAGCACCTTCCACATAGTGATTGTTTCCCTGTTGATGATCTCGTGTCTCTCTGCTCAGGAGTGTTCCTGGGACTCGGCTTGAGTGGGGTCGTGCCCACTATGCACTTCACTATCGCCGAGGGCTTTGTCAAGGCCACCACAGTGGGCCAGATGGGCTGGTTCTTCCTCATGGCTGTGATGTACATCACTGGAGCCGGCCTTTATGCTGCTCGGATTCCTGAGCGCTTCTTTCCTGGAAAATTTGACATATGGGTAAGAAATGACTCTTCCAGCAGGGCCTGTGATGGCGAATGACGGGCTCACAGTTGAAAGGCTAAGTAAAAGGTGATAGGAGACCTGGATCATGTAGTATTTAGGTATACTCATATATGTACATTGGAGAAAAATAGCCAATATTAACATGTTGGTGTTATCTCTGATACTTTCAAATTTTTTTGATACTTTTATAATGTAAAAAAAAGAAAAGCAAAAACCAGAAGAGGCAAATACTGTCTCCTACTTCTTTCTTTTTATTATTGCTGTACTGGGGGTACATTGTGACATTTACAAAAGTTCTTACAGCATTTCATAGTTGATTTCACCCCCTCCATTTTCCTACTTCTTTCTAATTTCTCCTTCCATCATCCTAAAAGCTGTTCTCTTTTTATTCCTGCAGTTCCAGTCTCATCAGATATTCCACGTCCTGGTGGTGGCAGCAGCTTTTGTCCACTTCTATGGGGTCTCCAACCTTCAGGAATTCCGTTATGGCCTAGAAGGTGGCTGTACTGATGACTCCCTTCTCTGAGCCTTCCCACCTGAGGGGTGGAGGAGGAACTTCCCAAGTGCTTTTAAAAATAACTTCTTTGCTGAAGTGAGAGGAAGAGTCTGAGGTGTCTGTTTCTAGAAGAAACCTCTTAAAAGAATTCAGTACGAGTCAAGGTTCAACTCACTTTCACAGCCACTGGGCAATAAACTTTCCATTTCTATTCCCCAGCTGGGGAGGGTGAAATGGTCAACACAGCCACCCCCCTCCTTAGCGGTCACCACCTCAGCAAGGCAACTACTAGTCCTTTACAGAGACGACTTTGAAGCTCATGTTGAGATTTTACCCCCTCCTCAAACCATTTTGGGAAAAAATTACAGACTGGGACTCTTCAGAAATTGTTTTTCTGGAAGAAAATGTCCCTCCCTTACCCCATCCTTACTTTGTAACCTGGCTTATAACAGGCCATCCATTTTTGTAGCACACTTTTCAAAAGTAATTATACCTGGTCCCACCTTTCTTGGGCCTAGACCTGCTTTCACAGCAGGAGAGCAAAGCCCTGACTTTTACATGCCCGGCTAGTCATGGGAGTGCATCCAGGCCTCAGATAACTTGAGCTTTAGTTTTGTTTTTTTTTTCTTGGCAGAGTAATGTAAAATTAAAATGGGGAAAGATATTTAATATTTAATACTAAGCTTTAAAAAGAAACCCGCTATCATTGCTATGTATCTTGATGCAAAGACTATGATGATAAAAGAAAGTACAGAAAACACTTGGCATTCATATATTTAATGTGTGGTCTCGACTACTTGCATATAACTCCAAAAGATTAAAACCTATAATCATCCTAAATTCTGCTGGGTCACAAATTTGAAAGATAGTCACGACAAGCCTGATATGTGTGGGTCAGGGAATGATCCTAATTGAGTTGCTAGCATCTGCTCCTCAGTACAACTTTAATTTTTCCTACTTGCATAGATGTCTAATTTGAGAAATGACTGTGCTATAGTGCTCAGTGATGTGAAGATTCTCACAGTTTAGTTCTAGTAAAACCACCTTGCCTAGGGTTGTCTCATCAAGGAGCTATTCTCTGCCCTCCTGTACTCTTGTGACAGGTACTCAACCCGGACTTCTGTTCCTTAGGTAGCTGAAGCCAGCAGTGATCACTTCCTAGTTGTAGGCAGTTGAAGGGGAATCTCATAAAGTTGGGCTCACTTCAAGTTTGTACAAGTGGAAAAACAAATGATCCTTTTAAAATATCCACCGAGGCGAACAAACAGGAAAAAATTCTTAGCCTCAAGAGGCAATCAGGAAAATGTAAATTAAAACCAAAATGATAAACCATTTCCTGCTCCAACAAGATTGGCACAAATTAAAAAGCCTAATATTGAGTGTTGGCGCTGACATGGAGCAGACCAGATGGCTGTTGTGGAATTGTACATTGGTAAGATCACTTTGTGTGGACATGCATACAGTGTGAACATGCACACGTGTAAACATTTCATCAAACATGCTTGGGGGTGTAGTTCAGTGGCATGCTAAATACTTAGCACGCATGAGGCTCTGGAGTCTATCCCCGTCATCCACAAAAAAAAAAAAAAGGGAAAAAAATTTCACAAAGTAACACCATGAGATTATGAGATGCATCTGGTATTTGTCTTAACATTAAAAAAAAAGTCTGATCCCCTAAATTTGTTTTCCTAACTCATTAATTTGTCATGACTCAATGAAAAACACTGCTGTTACACTAAAAGGCTCATTGCAGCTCCTTATAGCCAAATACTGCAAATGTCTAAAACTGTTGAATGGAAAAATAAATTTTGGTTTATTCATGAAATGAAACACTACCAGTAAAAAAAAAAAAAAAAAAAAATTACACAGGAACAGGAGCTGGAGGCATGGCTCAAGCAGCAAAAGTCCTGCCTAGGAAGTGTGAGACCCTGAGTTCAAACCCCATAGTCTCCAAAAAATAGTAAAAATGGATCAAGGTAACTTCATTTCATCTAGTGTTCTTTAAAAAGACCGAAACAACATGGTTGAGTCTCAAAATTGGCAGGAGGAGAGAGGAAAGCAACTCACAGAATATATTGGTTTGATTGCTCTTCTGTGGTGTTCAGAAACTTGCCAAACTAGTGACAGCTTAAGGATACAGACATGGCAAAAACTTTTAAAATAACGTTAATTCTGAATAATAGTTACCTCTAAAAGGGTAAGAACAATATTTATAGCAAAATTGACATTCTTTTTAATAGGTGGTAAGGACCTGGGTGTTCCTTATATCATCATGATTTTGTATTTGTTTAATTCAAAACAGCTTTTAAATATATTTTAGAAAGTGTTGCAGTCACAACTTGATGATCAGGCAGTTACCAGTGTCCTCAAATGTATGCTGTTTGGCCTTGCACAGTAGGAATCAATTGAGCCCAGAAGCAGCCTGTGTCCTATATAGAGGGCTTGTGCTCTCCAGTTCACCACTGACCCCACCTACAGTGATCCACTCATTGGAGTCATCTGCTGATCCCTGGAACACATCTGAGTTTGCATCTAGTACAGAACTGGAAGGAAGCCTAGAACTCATACTCCATCCTTTCATGTTTGTTTTTGGTTTGTTTTTTGAGGCAGAGTGTCACTATGTAGCCCAGTCTAGCCTCAAACTCAGTCCTGCCTCAGCCTTCCAAGTGCTGGGGTTACAGGCCTGAACCACCATGCCTAGCCAACTCCACCCATTTTACAGATGAGAAAACAAGGACATCCATGGCAATTGATGAAAGCCAAAATGTGTGTTTCATTTTGCAGTTCTAGACAGATCCAGGAAAAGAATCTGAGGGTGTTTATTGAGGACCTACCTAAACCTTTTTTTTTTGGTGGTGGTGGTGGTACTAGGGATTGAGCTCAGGGCATCCTACTTGCTAGGCACTCTACCTCTTGAGTCACACTCCCAGTTCTTTTACTTTTTTCAGATAAGATTCTCTTCTGCCCTCCCAGCTTCTGACCTCATTCCTCTTACCTTCTGCCTCCTCAGACTTTACAGGTATGCTCATCACACACAGCTACTTCATACTTTTGATAGGTCATTTTATATCTTTAATCCTGTAGAGCAGATAGTATTATCCTCTTTCAACATAAAAAATAAGTTGGTCTCCTAATTTTTTACTTGCTGATAGGAAACAGGTTGAGTCAGGTTTTTAGCTTTTATTTCTTTAATCACACTTTGTCATTGTTTTTATCTTATTCTATAGTGCCTAGCACGTAACAGGTCCCCAACTTTGAGGATCACACTAAGGTCCACTGCTATGGATCTTGTTTCTCATCTCGGAGATGAATTGACTTACTTGGATCACATAGGATCCCTTCTAGTCCTAGTCTTGAAGGCATCTGGTTGCAAACTCAGATGCCTTCAGACCACCTATAATTATTCCTAAAATGACAGCAGGATTAGAGCCTGCTGGATTTGGATTAGTATCCAAATCCAGATCATTTTGACTTAAACTTTATGTTTTAAAGTCGCAGATGATTTAAAAGTTCCTTTTACTTATGATTTCAGTTACCTCTTGCTTTTATCAGCAAATAACTATTACCTTCTTTCTCTAACTGCACACTTCTGACTCATTCGCTTACCAAATTCCTGCTTAGGACCTGTTATGTGCTTGGCACTACAGAACAAGTAAATGAAACAAACACTAATTTTTATCAAAGAAAGGCGAAGGATAAATGCTAAGAAGTCTGATTGTACCCCTATCCTATCAGTAAATCAAAAATTAAAGGACAGCCGATGGCTCACACCTGTCTATAATCCTAGTTATTTGGGAGGCTGAGATCGAGAGGATTGCTGTTCAAGGCCAGCAAGAACACATAGTTCAAGAGACCCGCCATTTCCAAAATAAGCAGAGCAAAATGTACTGGAGGTGTGGCTCAAGTGGTAGAGTGCCTGCTTTGCAAGTGCTGAGTCTTGAGTTTAAACTCCAGTCCCACTCAAAAAATATTAAAGAAGGGAATAATTTGTCTTTACTGGCCATCCATTTTGGTTTTTTGTTTTGTTTCTTTTTCCTTTTTTTTGCAGTACTGGGGTTTGAACTCAAGGATTCTTCATGCTTGCTAGATAGGCACTCTACCACTGGAGCCACACCTCCAGGACTTTTTGTTCTAGTTATTTTTGAGATAGAGTCTTCCTTTACGTCCAGGTCAGCCTGGACCTCAATGCTATTTATACTTCCCACAGTAGCATCTCACTGTGCCTGCTATTGGTTGGGATGGGGGGTCTCCCTGTTTGCTCTGGTTTTATCAAAGAAAAGCCAAGGATAATTGTGATCCTCCTGATCTGCCTCCCAAGTAGCTAAGATTACAGGTGTGAGGCACTAGCACCCAGGTAGGCCATCTATTTTCTTCTTTTTTTTAAGGCCCTTTGATTGATTGATTTTGGGGCACTACTGGGGTTTAAACTCAGGGCCCCACACTTGCTAGGCAGGCACTTTTACCACTTGAGCCACTACACCAGCCCAAAGGCCATCTACTTTCAATTAGAGTAAGATAGAACATTGAAAATAGTAAACTCAGATTATTGCAAATGGGTAAGACCCAAAAAAAATTCCTGAATGCCTTGTGTTATTCAGGCAGAAAAGCATCTTCCCAGATGCTTACATGTGCAAAAATTGTTCAAGCAAGGAGAAGTACTTAGAAAAGAGGAAGGAAGCCAGAGAAGGTGGGGAGAGCCATTAGGCCTTGATACAAGTCTGACCCCATGAAGGAAAAAGACAGAATAAGGACAAGTGTCCTAGGCTGCCTTGCAATCTAAGGAAGGCTCAGCAAAGTCCTTTGGGAGAAGTTCTTGATCCACTCACAAGTCTCCCAGGGGAGTCCGTCTAGCTGATCCCAACCAGGGCAGAACCAGCCCTTGGGAGGTATGACCTCAACCTGAGTGCAAATTCAGACAATGAATTTCTAAGCAGCAGTTGGAGCCCTGCTTGGATTACATTAAGTAACTGAGAGGTGCATTCTCATGTCTGCCACACTGTGACAGTACAAAAATGCAATGTATTTGGCCTGACTGGCTACAGATTTGACCCACACTTTACATACCTGATTGTGGAGTTCCAATGTAAATTCCCTGTGCCTTGGAATTTGCCTTGCAAATTCATTGAAACCCTTCAGTAGCTATGAACATACAGAATCACTTTCAGGTCCAAAACATAAAGGTAAGATGATGTATGGGAATCAACCAATTAACTCACCTTATCCAGACCCACCCATTCAGAATATGCCTAAGAAACTCAGAAGAAATCTGGGTGTAGAGTATTGGGCCAGGTAGCCAAATTACTAGAAACATTCTTGTATGGGAAGGATAGTGTTGCTATTATTTAAAATCCCAATACAAAGCTGGGTGTAGTAGTGCATGCCTATAATTCCATGTAATGTAATTCCATGGAGATGGAAGCAGGATTGTTGAGTTTGAGGCTAGCATGGGCTACACAGAAACACCCTGTCTCAAAAAGACCAAACCGACAATGACCCAATATATGCTAGGACTGTACCCTTGAAGAAAACAAAGTCAGGACAAGCCTGAACTAGTGTCAGTGAGCTCACTTCCTTACTGACAGTTTCTCCGTCTTCTCTGAAAAAAGGAGTGAGTGAGCATATTCTAAACAAAGCCTCTTTTCAGAAGTTGGAAAAAAAATTCTTAAATTTAGCAGCCAGAAATTAGGCAGTATCATTAAAGTGCTATTAATTAATAGGAATAACTTTTATTTTAAATTGTACATATTTTAAACCACAAGACATGACAAGATATGGAGGGGAAAAAAACCTCCTTTCCACCAGGTCTCAAAACCAACCAGTTTCTCTCCCCAAAGAAACCAGTGTTATCACTTTACTTTGTAACTTTCCAAATACATTGTACATATCTGGGCAAATAAAATATTTCTATTTTCCCGCCTTTTTATACAACGAAGAGCAGATTTTACACACTGTTCACAGCCACATGGTATGGTACTGGATTCTGTGGATGGATCACAATTGAATCAGCCCCTATTAATGGACACCTCAGGTTATTTTCAATCTAATCTATAATACTGCTGTGAACAACTCTGTACAATACATCATTTACACGTTCATAAGTATATATACAAATCAAAGTCTACTTACATTCATAACTTTGTCTCATGTTTCCAAAATGCCCCCAGTAAAATTTATACCAATCCTGCACTCCCATCTACAGTATGTAAATCAGGGACAGTTTCAGATCAGAAAAGATATGACGTGAAATATGGGAACGCTATGAAAAGTTAGGATGCTGCCCATTTGAGTAAATTTTAGTATCCTTAAAAACCAAAAGTCCCATAGAGGAAAACTCTGAAAATAACCAAACACAGTTTGGACATTCACATAAAAGGAGCTAAGGGACCTCTTTCCCTTCTCAGCCACCAAGTGCGCCCAAATCAATGAAAGCATAATTCCTAAATACTCCTCAGCACCAACGGACACGGTGAAAAGCCAGGAGAGGATGGTGGAGATAAGGGCTACTGGAACTGCTCTAAGACGATCCTTTGCAATTTCTCTCACCGTGTGCAACTTCTGATAGCCCCAACTTCCTTCCACTTCATTCTGGGAGTGAAAGAAGTAAAATCACCATCGCTGATGCATTGGTGACTCATTATGATGCAGAGAATGCTGAGGCTGCGGACCGCCGGGCTCAGAAGGTTCTCGCCACGGCGGTGGGTAGCCCGAAAAGGCCATTGTGCATAACGGACCTGAAAAGGCTTGAAGCCTTGGCTAGGTTTTCCTGATGTGACAGTACGCCTGCACACCTTGCAGGTAACCCTCTCTCTCTGTGGTCCCAGCCTCCGCACGGCCAGCCTCGGAAGCCCCTCAGCTGGCCCGCCCCGTGAGCCGGGAAACTCAGGCTCGACCAATCCCCGAGCAGGAGAGCCGTAGAGGCCCCTCCCCTGCCGGAGCCGCCCAGAGTTTTCTTTTTTGCTTTCTCCAGCACCCTAGGGTTCGTGGGTCACGTGACACCGCCACTCGCGTGACGTAGACCGCAGGGGGGTGGGGCTCGAGTTGCATTACGTCATCACGTCGCGCGGCCTTGGAGTCTTGAGCCGGGACGACCACGGTGACGGCTCCGGAGCCTCCGGGTGGGGGCGGCGGCGGCGGCGCTCCGGCTCCTGCTGAGCCGCCTGCTGGCCCCGCGCCCCACCCCATCCCCGCGGGCTGGGGACGGGCTCGTGCGGCTGGGCGGGCCCGGGAGCGGAGGTGAGTAGCGCTAAGGTGGTGGCAGCCACCCTTCCGTGCCTGCCAGTCAGCTCAGAGGTAGGGCCCTTCCCTCATCCTTCCTCTACCTACCTGGTGGGCTGGGTGGGACCCGGGAACGGAGGAAGCTGGGAGCGACGTCCTCGCACCTTTCCCTGCACTTTGCCCCTCCGCCACCTCCACCTGGCGGTAGCATTTGTAAGCTTGGTGTTGTCAGGAGAGGAGACCTCGTTTCCTTCTCTGGAATTTAGTCTTCCAGAATCTGATTAATCCCCCTCCCGTTCTGAATCTCCAGTGCTGGAACCTCTCTATTCAGATAATAACGGAAGCTCTCCACTAGATCATTTCTGAAAGATGAGGGTGGAGGATTCATTGAGACTTTGCTTGGCGAGGCAGAGATCCCCAGAAGAGGGACCACTGCACTGAGGTTACTGTCAGTTCTGTCACAACCCGTGGAGCCCAACAGCCCCGGCCCTGGGGTAACCCTCCAGAAAATCTACACAGCCGACAGACATTTGCTCAGACCTTTCTCTCATCTCCAGAGTTGAAACTAAGGAAGTTTAACTTCAGCTGACTTAAGGAAAACATTTCCTCCTTTTCTGTAAGCTGGATCTTGCAGAGTTATTGGAGGGAGAGTCTAGAGTGCTTATAACGTCGTAACTATAAATATAAGTAGATGAGAATTTAGAATCTAGTTTTACTATTCAAACTTTGTGGTTGGGCATTGTAGGCTTTTGAAGTCCACACTTTCATTTGTCTTTCTTGGCTTATTTCAGAAAATTTGGGATTGCAAACGAAAGACTATCCTAAATAATAACCATATCTGGGCTGGAGGTGTGGCTCAAGTGATAGAGTGCTTGCCTCACAAGCTCAAAGCCCTGACTGAGTTCAAACCCCAGTATCTCAAATAATAATAACCACCACATCTACTTCATTCCCCAGAATTGTTTCTGAGCCTGATAGGGAGGTGGGGAGAGTGACTAAAGTCTGTGAACACTGAAGAAACTATGCCTTAAATTGATTTTCAGGTATGTAACTTAATAGTGAATTCATTTAATTCATTCATACAAGTGAACTTAGCTAGTATGGTTATCCACAGAAAATTGGTTCCAGGAACTCAGTACATACCAAAATCTGAAGCTGCTGCTGAATGGCATCATAGTATTTGCATATAACTTATGCACATTTTTCAGGATTTTTTCTTTCCTTTTATAAATTATTTTACTTGTTTTCTGCTTAACTCATTCTAATTTGGTTTTTGCAGTACTGGGATTTGAATTCAGGGTCTTATACTTGCTAGGCAAGCGCTCTACCACTTGAGCCACTCTGCCAGCTTTGCAGGATATTTTAAGTCATCTCTAGATTGCTTACATACCTAACACAATTTAAATGCTAAGTAAATAGTTGTGTTGTTTAGAAATGATAATTTAAAAAATCATATATGTGAACTTTTTTTTTTTAATTCTTTTGATCCTCAGTTGAATCCGAGAATGCAGAACCGTTAGAACTCAGAGAAAGAAGAGGTGACTTTTACTTGGAATTGGTTATCAGATCATGGTGGTGATGCCAGGGATAGGAGTGGTTGTTTGAGTCGAAAGAAGCCTTTCCTTAGTTCCCTAATTTGTAAAAATAATTGAGTATCTTCGGTTTCCCCATTTCTTTGTTATTTTTCTCTCTCGTAGTTCCATTATCCAGGGATCCCTTTTGTTCTTTCTCCATATTGTTTGGTAGGAGGCATTATGGCCCCCAAAGACATAATGACAAATACTCATGCTAAATCCATCCTCAACTCCATGAACTCTCTCCGGAAGAGCAATACCCTCTGTGACGTGACATTGAGAGTAGAGCAGAAAGACTTCCCTGCCCATCGGATTGTGCTCGCTGCGTGTAGTGATTACTTCTGTGCCATGTTCACCAGTGAGGTAAGTGGTAAATTGGCTCCACACAAATGAAGCTTACATATATAGGTTGTAGTTTGCTCATTGTTGCAAATAAAATAATAGATGTTTGACATAATGAATTCTTTTTGTATGGCAATACTGGAGTTTGAACTCAGAGGCCTCATGCATACTAAGTAGGTGCCCTTGTCACCTGAGCCACACCCCCAGCCCTTTTTTAGTTTTTAGTTGTGTTTTAGGTAAAGTCTTGTGTTTCTTCCCGAAGTCAGCCTCAGACCCCCATCCTTCCATTTCTGGCTTCCCAAGTAGCTTGGATGACAAGTACCTGCCACCATGCCCATCTTATTGATTGAGATGGGAGCTTGCTAACTTCTTACCCAGAATGGCTTTGAACTGCAGTCCTTCCAGTCTCTCCTGAGTGGCTGGGATTATAGGCATGTACCACAGTGCCTCTTCATAAAATCTTTCTAACCACCAGTATTTTCTTTAGTTAGCCCTAATCACCTTTGTTAAGATGATATTACTGGATCTGAATAGGAGAGGTAGTATCATATAATAACTATTTTTATGGGCAAGCTATTAGGCTACATGTTTGTCATGCATGTCTTACACATCTCATTTTATAAACAGAGGACTAAGTTTTCATATTAAATGACTTGCCCAAAGTCACATGACTTGTGGGTAGTAGAGGTAGGATTTTCTGACTGTAAAAGCCTAGTTTTTAACTTCTGTGCCTCCTCAGCCTCTGAAATATGGGTTTTATATTCTAAAATCTAATTTTATTTATTTATTTATTTGAAGTACTGAGGTTTGAACTCAGGGCCTCATGCTTGCTAGGCAGGTGCTCTCACCACTTGACCCACTCCACCAGCCTTTTTTTATGATGGGTTTTTTTGAGATCAGGTCTCGTGAACTATTTGCCTGGGCAGTTTCCACCCATATCCTCCTGATCTCTGCCTCCTGAGTAACTAGGATTATAGGCGTGAGCCACCAGCACCCAGCAACAATCTAATTTTAAAGTCAATATAAGTTTTTTAATGCTGTGAGCCAGTGCTCTGTCACATGGCTGGTAGGAAAAACTTAGAAATCTGATAGGTCATTCTTGTTAATCCAGTCTAATTTTAAAATGATCTTGTGTACTGTAACATATGGATCTCTGTGCTGTATGGGTTTCCGTGATAATCTACTAAGGAGCATCAGAAGCACTTGGCATTTAACTGGGTAAGGAGAGTGTCTCCCAGAAGCTACTGAGCATGAATTGGGCTAGCACTGCTGACTGCTAATTATATATTGCACAGCAGTGTATAATTATTTTTGTTAGCTTGAAGAAAATTAGTCTGTCTGCACTATTATTTTTTCACATTCAGAAATCAGGTTCTGATGGCTGACACTTGTAATCCTAGTTACTCAGGAGGCAGAGATCAGTAGGATTGGGGTTCAAAGCCAGCCCCAGGTAATTAACTCATGAAACCCTATCTTGGAAAAAAAAAATCACAAAAAAGGGGTAGCAGAGTAGCTCAAGTGGTAAGAGTTCCTGCCTAGCAAGCATGAAGTCCTGAGCTCAAACCCAAAAAAAGAAAAAAAATTACTGTGGCGTTTTACACAAAAAGCCTTTTTTTCTAATCAGCAATTGGTTCTTTCTTTGTTTAAAAACTAATATTTAAAGAACAACAAAAACAGTCTGGCATGGTACTTCATGCCTATAATCTCAGCACTGGGGGCTGAGGCAGGAGGACAGGTGAGTTCCAGCCAAGCCTGGGCTAAAATAATAAGACCATGTCTCAAAACAAAACAAATACAAGACTCCCCTCCAGAAAGAAAAGAGGTTGATATCAGGTAAGAAAACCCCTAGAAAATTCTATGTTTACTTTTTTTACAAACAGGATCTTACTTTGTAACCCTATCAAGCTTCGAACTAACGATCCTCTTCCCTCAGTCTCCCAAGTGCTAGGATTGCAGTCATGTGCTGCCATAAAGTTTTATTTTTGTTTTTGGTGGTACTGGGGTTGAAACTCAGGTTATCACACGGCAGGTGCTCTACCGCTTGAGCCACACCTCCAGCCCTTCTTTATCTGGCTATTTTAGAGACAGGGTCTCACTTTTTGCCCAGGCCCTCCTGGACCATGATCCTCCCATTTTAAGCTTCCTGCTGTCACTGTAATGATTGACACACGCCACCATACCCAGCTTTTGTGTGTTGAGATGGAGTCTCAAAAACTTTTTAATCTAGGCTAGCCTGGAACCATGATCCTCCCAATCTCAGCCTCCCATGTAGCTAACATTACAGTGTCAGCCATGGGCACCTGGATTATCTGTAGTTTTAAGAGTAATTGTTTTAAAGTAATGAGTCTAGACCTAGGTTCTAGGGTTAAGTTCTCTTAGCAGTTCTGTATGAACTCTTACTAACCATCTAACTTTACCAGGTGGCACTGTAAAATAAAGTGAATGAATGAGGTGGTTCATTGTTCTCTTCTAACCCTTAAATACGCCTCAGATGTCCAACTGAGAGATCATAGAACTGAAGTCAGAGGCCTGGGGTTTGTCTCTCTTACTATTTAAGTGATTTTGCTCAAGTCACATAAATTCTTTGAACCTTAATCTCTGTTTTTTTTCTTTTGACTGTACTGAGGTTTGAACTCAGGACCTCATGCTTGTCAGGCAGGCACTCTGCCACCTGAGCCACTCCACCAGACCTGTTTTATGTTGGGTGTTTTCGAGATAGGGTCTCCCGAACTGTTTGCCTTGGCTGACTTTGAACTACAGTCCTCCTGATTTCTGCCTCCCAAGTAGGTAGGATTACAGGCATGAGCCACCAGTGTCCAGTTTGAACCTTTATCTCTTAAATGGCAATAGTATCAAAATAACTACCTTACCAAATTGCTGTGAGAACTAGATGAACTAATAGTAAATGAGACTCATGCTGGCGAGTTGTAAAGCAAAAATAAAGATGTGAGATGTTTTGAGGTCTTACGTAAGTGAAATCATGTCTATATGTGACTATTTGGCTAATGAGACTGTGGCTTATTTGTTGAATGAAGAAATTCTAGATTACATGTACTTGTACATTTCAGAATCATTAGTGCTTAATGTGTTGGAACAGTAGTTGTTTATAAATACCTGTACTGTATTAAATGTTAAATCTAATATGTTTTTTCCAAAATAATGTCCAAGTGTTGTTTTTTAATGTTAGAGATTGATTTGGTTTTGGCGTTAGTAAGAAATGTTTTATGAGGGCTGGGGGTGTAGCTCAATTGGAGATCCTGGGTTCCAGTACCACCAAAAAAAAAAAAAAAAAGGCATTTTGATTACACTGTGAGCTGATGGAGAAATAAAAGATGATAAAGCCATTTAGTTCATAATGGAAGTGTACTATAGTTGTATGAGTAACACAGATTTTCAATCTAAAGCTTAGATCTAGTAAAATTTTCATAAGGTAATCAACTTTCAATAGTTTACTGTCCTGTAAAGTTGAAGATTTCTACTCTTAACAGTCTTTTACGATTACCTGGCCTCATCAACACTCATTGCTTCACGGAGATATTCTAGACTAAATATAACACCAGTTACTCATTAATCCCAAAATACAGTGTATTTAGTATTTTATAATTTGTGTGTGTGTGTGTGTGTGTGTGTGTGTGTGTGTGTGTGTGTGTGGTGGGGATTAAACCCAAAGCCTTGGGCATGCTGGGTAAGCAGCACAGTACAGAGTTATGTCTCTAGTGATCCAATATTTGGAGAAAGTGACAAATAACTCACTGTTATTCAGGCAGTTGTATAGAAGAAAGCCCCTTAGGATGATCTGTGTGTTCCTTTCCTTGTTTCCAAATGTAGTCTAAGGGAAGATGATAGGAACTTGATAGTCTTGAAGGATGTGGAGCTATAACCCACAGAGTGCTCTCTAAGTACGAAATTTCATTGAAATTTTGTGTTTTATTTTAAAACATGGACGCTAGTGATAAATTCGTGGAACTTTAGTATTCAATTCTGTAATAAATCTATATTTCTTAAAATAGGGAATTAGGGTTTTTAATTACTCATTGGTAAAATTGATCCTGCACCTTGGTTGCTGGGGACACAGATAACTGCCCACTCCATTTGAGTATGAATATTTGCTTAGTACAAATCAAACAAAACAGATTATAATTTTTAAAAGTTGTTTATTTTAATTAATATTAATATCCCTTTAAGCTTTTGGATTTGAGATTTTGCATTTATCTTGTGGAACTATAACTACTGTTCTTTCAGCTGGGCGCCTGTGGCTCACGCTGTAATTCCTAGCTACTCAGGAGGCAGAGATCAGGAGGATTGTGGTTCAAAGCCAGTCCACGCAAATAGTTCAAGAGACCCTAACTCGAAAATACCCATCACAGAAAAGGGCTGGTGGAGTGGCTCAAGGTATAGGCCCTGAGTTCAAACCCCAGTACCGTTAAAAACAAACAAAAAACAACAAAAAACTACCATTCTTTCATATCTGTGAACTTTCAGCTTTCAGAGAAGGGGAAACCTTATGTTGATATCCAAGGTCTAACTGCCTCCACCATGGAAATTTTGTTGGACTTTGTGTACACAGAAACAGTTCATGTGACGGTGGAGAATGTACAAGAACTGCTCCCTGCAGCCTGTCTGCTTCAGCTGAAAGGTACAGACATAAAAAGTTGCTATTATTCACACCAAAGCAACCCTGGAAATGTTTTAAATTAATGTAAACTTAATCATGAGTCCAGACTATGAGCACTCATGTTTCTGCCCATGGCATTTGAATATTTGAGCAATAAAAGATCTGATGTCAAAAGCAATACAAAGGAATTTCTCCAAATTTGAGTATCTTGTAAAAGAAAGCATTTACACCTTTTCCATTTAAAAAAAAAAGTGGCTGGCAGAATGGCTCAAGTGGTAGAGTGCCTGCCTACCAAGTATGAGGCCCTGAGTTCAAACCCCAGTACTGAAAAATAACAACAAAAGAAATGGGGGAATGGAAGATATGTGCATTTTCTTACATTTCTCATACCATACCCCTGTAAGGAAATCTAAGACACTAATAGTATTCATTGTCTGCATATCTGCCTGGTCTTTAGATGGCTAGGTTGATAGGGAGGCAAAGGGGACTTTTCATGGTAAACTTTTTTATATCTTTAAATTTTTGAACCGTGTAAAATATCTGTTAAATAAAATTTACCCAGCACTTGGGAGGTGGAGGCAGGAGGATAAGTGAGTTCAAGCCTAGCCTTGATACATATCAAGATATAGGCCAGCCTTGGCTACATAGCAAGACCTTGGCTCAAAAAACATAAGTGAGGGAATAAATAAATGAATAAAATTTTAATTGATGCACACAAATGAAAATATGAACTTTTCACAGAATTAGAGATGGGTCTCCCAGTTTCCAGTCTTTTTTCTCCACACACACACACCCTTTTTTTTTTTGAGATGTGGGCTCACTGTATAGACCAGGCTGGACTAGAAATCACTCTGGAGCCCTAGGCTGGCCTTGAACTCATGATCTCCCTGCCTCAGCCTCCAAGTGCTGGGATTATAGGCATGCACCACCACACCCAGCTATCTGTTCTCATTATTTTCAGTTTTTATATACACATAATTGAAACATTTTCTATTTTAAATACAGCATGGAAATAGTGTGAAATTTTTACATTTGTGCACAGTTATGAAATTAGGTTTATACTATGAATTTTTGTGTGTGTGTGGTGCAGGGATCAAACCCAGGGCCTTGTATGTGCTAGGATGCTAGACAAACAATGCTTTACCCCTGAGCTCTGTCCTCAGCCCCTACTCTGAACTTTTCAAATACAGAGATATAATATTTGATATAGAGTAGAAAATAGGTACATTATGCTGAATTAGTAATTGATTTTACAGATTGGTTCTCAAGGATTTATAGCTTTTGTTTAACTGCTCCAGGGTTCCTGGAAGTAGTTATTTTTGTTATACTTATTTTAAAAATGAAGCAGAAACAGGCATAAAGGCCTTATTGAAAGTTCCACAGCACATAAGACAAAGATTTGAACTGCTTAAGCATGAACTATCTAATCTGTGTGTTAGGTGTGGAGCAAGGGTTCCTCTGCTAACATGTAGAGAAGATGTTGAGGTCCAAGATATAAGATGAATTCACATATGGTCAAGTGTCCTGAAGTATATTCATTGCCTGTGTTTGTCCTAGGTGTGAAACAAGCCTGCTGTGAGTTCTTAGAAAGTCAGTTGGACCCTTCCAATTGCCTGGGTATCAGGGATTTTGCTGAAACTCACAATTGTGTTGACCTGATGCAAGCAGCTGAGGTTTTTAGCCAGAAGCATTTCCCTGAAGTGGTACAACATGAAGAATTCATTCTTCTGAGTCAAGGAGAGGTGGAAAAGCTAATCAAGTGTGATGAAATTCAGGTACATATTTGTCTTGGTGCTATGGTTTCTTCAACATAATTGAGTTATCTGTTTCTGTATTGGAGCTTTATATTCAAGTGTCCACATTGGCTCCACAGGTTTTGACTTGCTTTCATACTTACAGAGAAGAGGTTTGTCACTTTTCTTTCATTAAATGTGTGATCTCAGTAGTTAAGAATCACTGTTAAACAGTGTGGAATGAACAGAAATCTGAAAATGAATGCTTATAGAATATTATTGAGGATTTCTAATATGTAACAGTCACTATGCCAGGTGCTATAGATCCCAAACTGGGGAACAGTTTTTACTTTCAGAGAGTTCAGTGTAGTAGCAGAGACAGACATATAGAGGGGAAAAGTTAATAGCAGAGAATAATAGGCTGAGTGCCGGGGGCTCACATCTGTAATTCTAGCTATTTGGGAGGCTAAGATAGGGAGGATGGAGGTTCCTGGGCAGCCCAGGCAAATAGTTTATGAGACCCCATCTCTAAAGAAACCAGAGAAAAATGGACTGAAGGTGTGGCTCAAGCAGTAAAGTGCCTGCTTTGTAAGCATAAAGCCCTGAGTTCAAACCCCAGTCCTATCAAAAATAATAATAATAATGAGCCTATCCAAGGTAAGAAAATTACATAGAGAAAAGAAGAGTAAACTTTAACCCAGGACTGGATCAAAAAAGGAAGCTTGATGGTAAGGATCTGCATGAGCAGGAAACAGACCATAACTGCCTAATGGGGATGAAAGGGATAGAGGAGGGGACATGTGAGCTAGGTGATAAAGAGTGCTCACCCAACACAGGGAAACTACCTATGTCAGGCAGGCATTCAGTGACTAAACCCAGCAAGAGAAAAATTCTAAATCAGCACAGTGGTGTAGTAGTTTTTGTTGCATATAGGTGTATAGTTAGGCTGAGAATTAGAGTGAGAAGTCCAACATAGGGCTAGTAGATATCTTTGGAACCTGTAGTATTAATCTCTAGTGGCCTCATTCTTTAATTTTAGTTATCTTACCATCTGGGAGAGCCAAGTGGTAAAATGACAGTCTACCTATTATGTTATGTTTCCCTCATTTAGAAGAAAGTTGATTCTTTTGTTTTTTTTCCTTCTCACTGTCTTCTGTTAATAAGAAAATAAATTTTAAATTAGTTGATTTCCAGAAATTACTGGCACCTCTACAGGTGTACCTCAGTTTATTTATTTGCTTTTTTATGGTTCTGATAATAAAACATGCTAGCAAGTGCTCTACCAATGAACTACATCCCCAGTCTGGTGTACCACGATTTAGACAAGAGATTTATTGGAAAGAATCAAAACTTAATTAATACTCTTAAGTGATCTAAAAGGAATTTGCTACTAAATTAGGGGAAGGGTACTGTTTGAACTCAGGGCTTTGTGTCAGTAGGCATGCACCTACCACACTAGGCTACCCCCTGCCCAGAATTCTAAGGACTGGAATACCAGCTACTCAGGAGGCATATGTAAGAGGATCAAGGTCCAAGGCTGGCCCCAGCAAAAAGTGCCAGATCCTGTCTGTAATATAACTAAAGCAAAAAGGACTGCAGACATGGCTCAAGTGGTGGATAAGAGTGCCTGCCTAGCGAGCACAGATCCCTGAGTTCAAACCCAAGTACCATCAAAAAAGTAAAAAGAAAGAAAAAAATTATTATATACTTTGGTAAACCAGAGGATTTACTTCCTGATTTATTTTGTTAGAAGTAGGATTTTAGCCAGGCACCAGTGGCTCATGCCTGTAATCATAACTACATGGGAGGCAGAGATCAGGAAGATTGCAGTTGAGAGCCAGCTCAGGCAAATAGGTTCATGAGACCCTATCTCAAAAAAACAGGGCTGGTGGAGTGGCTCAAGTGGTAGAGCACCTGCTTAGCAAATGTGAGGCTCTGAGTTCAAAACCCCAGTATCACAAAAAAGTAGAATTTTATGTAATATAAGTTTTAAAATATTTTTCTCATCAATTTTTAGCCAACTTTTTACACCCTTCCTTAGTGACTTTTCTGTGCAAAATTGATGAGGGTACATTGGTAACATTGTTTCCAACTAAAGAGGAATTACTCTCCAACTTTACATACTGTTTCATGTCAGCGCAGAGAGCTGCTGTTAGAAATGCTGCTGAGTCAAGAATTTGCTATAATCTTAGTTCTCACCTTTATTGGTGCATGACATCGTATCCTTGCACTGCCATGCCAGGCATACCCAAAAGAAAGTATGCAGGGGACTGGGATGTAGCTCGGTGGTACAGCGCTTACCTAGCATGCACGAGGCCCTGGGTTCGATCCTAGCACCAAAAAAGAAAAGACAAAAAAAAAAAAAAAAAGAAAAAGAAAGTATGCAGATTTACTTGGTGGAAGTTTGCTAGAATATCTTCATTTTTTCTTGATTTGTCCATATACTAAAAAATAAAGAAATACAACTCTTCAGGCTTGAAGCCCACTGCAAATGGTAACAGAGTAACTAGTACACTTGGCATTTACTGTGATTCACTTACTAAATATTTAATGATCATTTATTATGTGCCCAGAATAGTTCTAGGAATCAGGAATCAATTATGAACAAAACAGATGAAAAATCCTTGTGTCTTGGAGTTTCCATGCTTTTATTTCCCCACCCCGTGCTGGGGGTTGAGGGGTTGAACACTGCTAGCCAAGTACTGTACCATTGAACTACACCCCTTGCCTATAGCTTCCATTCTCATAGCATCATTCTTGATTTTTTATTTTAGTTAACTCTTACATCTCCATTTCCTGGAGGAAGAAACTTGAGGCTCAGGGGTTAACCATCATACTACAGCTATTAAGTGGTAAAGCCAGGACTCAAATTCAGGCAGTCTGGCTCCAAAGTGACCACTAAGCTATGAGCTCCTCATGGGCTCAGTTTGTTTTTAATTGTACAAATCACAGAAGTCATTTACTTTTGGGACTATTACAGACTTTGGAATAAAATAAGGTGAAGGAGAAAGAGCAAATAACTAACCTTATTCAGGGGCTAACATGAAAAACAGTTTGAGAGCTCTTCTGGCCTTTGCTTTTTTCTGGGTAGATGGCAAATGACCTTTGTTTTTCTGTTCCATGTCCTATCCAGAAATAGAAAGCAGATGTCTGACTCTCAGTTGCTTCCTCTTATTAAGTAAAACAATAGTACTTAAAACAATGAGAAGCACTGTATCATACTGCTGAAAACAACATGAGTTTCGCAATCAGACATGACTATAATCTTGGCTGTGCGACATGTGTTACCTAAATGCTAACCTTCTGTTTTCTATGAAATATAGATAATATTAGTATTTAGTACATGGGACTGTTTTGAGCATTAATGAGAATGCTAGAATCTGATACATAAGAGAAAATTTTGTGAAAATTAATTGTGGAGAAAATTTATTTTCCTCCATAGTAGAGCATTAACGTTGGGATTTTCTGCCACTTTAGCTATTTCTCTGCTATTCTGTTTTATTTGTCTTTAGTAAAATCAAGAAACTCTGCTTGGGGCTGGCATAGTAAGTGGCACAAGTTGTAGAGTGCATGCCTAGCAAGCATGAAACCCTTAGTTCAAACCCCAGTACTGCCAAAGCAAAAAAGAAGCTCTGCTTTGGCTAGAGGCATGACTCAAGTGGAAGAGTGCCTGCCCAGAAAGCTCAAAGCCCTGAGATCAAACCGTAGTACCGCAAAAAAAAAAAAAAAAAAGCCTCTGCTTATGATTGAAAACCCCATCTTTAAATTGATGTATCAAATTTAAACCTAGACTATATCCGAGTCTAGCATGCATCTGCTTAAGACTATTTGCCAGTCATTCTTTTGAGAAAAAATTTTTTTTAATCATGGCACCCTTCTGCACCCTCCCCTGCATATAATCCATCAGTAGGCTGGATTAATTTGACCTCCCAATTATTTCTCCAGTACATCTATTGCTTTATCACCACTGCCACAGCTGTAGTCTAAATACCATCATCTTTTGCCTGTTATGCCAGAGTATCATCTAACTGAACTTCCAACTATCGGCACTTGTAAAGTGTTCCACACTTGGTTGCCAGGGTAGTCTTCAAAAACATCAATGTGATTATATTACTAGCCTGCCTGAAACTTTTTAATGATTTCCAGTTGCTCTCAGAGTATCATCCAGTCTTCTAGGACCCTCTGTGATCCTGCCCTTGCTTAACTCTCCAGCTTCATCTGTTACCACATTTCCCTCATTAGCCTTCTGTCATTTCCTTAGGCTGCCAGTTCTTTTTTCTTTAGGGCTGTGCTGACCAGTAGACTATTCTATGAAGAAGGAAATGATCTGTGTTGTCCAGTTAGATAGCCACTGGCCACATGTTGTTGCATACTGAGAAACTGAATTTTTAACTTAATTTTAGTTAATTAGTTCATTTAGTTAATTAATAGCCACACTTGGCTAGTGGTTGTCATGTTGGATAGTGCAGCTAGGCTAGTGCTTCTGAATGTGCTCTTCTGTCTGCCTTTGAGTGCTCCTGTTCTCCCTGGCTATCTGCTACTGACTCACCAGATTTTGACTTACTGCTTCTGCAGGGAGGCCTTCCTCTGTAATAACAATACCATTCCTATATAGTAACAGTAGTAAGAGAAATAACAGCAGATCCTTCAGTTTTCCAGTTAGTAATTGTCACTCCACTTCAGAGCAAGGATTGCATTGGATTTGTTCATCATTGTATGATCACCTTCAGCACAGTGCCTGGCACTGTGTACAGGTTCATTAAATCCATCGAGTGAGTACATGTTCTAAAACGTTTTCTACACTTCCAGAGTACCACAGTTCTTGGGAAAAGTTCACAAGGTGTGTTTTTAAATCTAGTCACAGTGATACTGTGAAAGATATCCTTCAGAACATGTATGTATGCCCTAGGGACTGGTGGGAAGGACACAACACCTATACTTAGGTGTCTCTTTGGGAAGTCCTAGCTCTTATCTAGCACCTCCTGGTGGTATAATATAGACTTTATAGGGTGAGTCTTATCTTATCCAGTTGTCATATGTAAGTCTAGATCTAAGCTCCCCAAAGAAGTATATGTATCATCTCAATGGCATGGTGCCTAATACATAGTCATTGCCCAAATGCTAAGTTGCCATGCTTTGAAAACTGTAAGATTACAAATAGCGATATGAGAAGCCCCTGAAGCAGAGGCTTAGCAAGTGAGGGATGTGGGGAGCCTGAGCTCATTAGACAATAATTATGAATAAAAGTTATTTCAAGAGCTAATTTTAATTGGAGCAAAAGATCCCCACCACCCACTCTCCCTGAAGGTATAGAAATGACCAGACAAAAATTCAGGACTGGAAAAATTCTGAAGTGAAAGCCAACATATGGCTGATGGCTTATTAGGTACTAGCTATCTTTTTTTTTTAACCCATTAGCTATAATTCTTTTCCCATGTCTGTAAAGCTTGTTTTTCCAAGAGCCTACCTATTTCTGGGCGATGGGAAATAATAGTGGTAGGTGACAGGAAGCAGAGAAGAGAAAGTAAACATGGTTATGTTTTGAGATTGCGAGCTAATTGAGAGAGCAGAAATCCATGATGTGAATTATACATTTATAGGTGGATTCTGAAGAGCCAGTCTTTGAGGCTGTCATCAATTGGGTGAAGCATGCCAAGAAGGAGCGAGAAGAATCCCTGCCTGACCTGCTACAGTACGTGCGGATGCCCCTGCTGACCCCCAGGTACATTACAGATGTAATAGATGCTGAGGTAAGTCTTGTAGGATATCAAGATCTAAAATCTCGACTGGCTCTTGCAGCTTAGTATTGTGTGCTCAGAGTTGATCATCTTAATGTAGGCAAAGATAGCTTACCTTTCCAGGAGTGCCAGAGAGGTGGTGCTGAGTACTCTCCAGGCATATTTCTAAGAAAAGTTAATTGCTTGACAAGTCAGGTTTCCAGCCCAAATGAAAATCCATGAGTTAATTTAATTTTGTGTTTTGTTGTCTTGCTGTTTTACATGCTTAATGGTTTTTTGTGTTGTTTGTTTTTGTGGTCCTGGGGATTGAACTCAGGGCCTGGCACTTGCTAGGCAAGGGCTCTACCACTTGAACCATAGGCCCAACCTAAGGGTTTTCTTTAAGCAACATGAGATGAACAACTTTGTATCCTTCTCTGTTAAACATACATTGCTACAAATTGCCTTGAAAAGGGAAAAGATGCTTTTCTCTGCAAACTTCTTTATTTTTTACCTTAGCGAAGCCAGTGTAAACATAGGTTAATGCATTTTCGTTTCAACTTTGGTCATGTTGAATTTATTTATAAAAGTGTTTCTCCAACTTAAGTTCTTTGTGGAATGTTTTCATAATTTTTTTCTTAATTTGTGGTGCTAGAGATCAAACCCAAGGCCTTGTACATGCTAGGAAAGAGCTCTAGCACTAACTACATCCCCTGTTTTTTGAGACGTCTCACTTTGAAACTCAGTCTGGCCTTGAACTCACTACATAGCCCAGACCTATCTTCCTTGGCCTCCTGAGTATTGGGATTACAGGTGTGTACCACCATGCCTTGCACATTTTCATAATTTTTACCATAAATGCCATCTGTGTTACCTGGACAATACCTTGGAGAAACACTGATTTATATCATATAGATAAGGTCCATGTCAGTGATGAGTTCTTTCTGCTGGCCTACCCCTGAATGTTTTTAAAAGTAAACCATAGAAATAGTTTGTTAGTTGTTCACATTAGAAAAGTTGCAGGCTGGTTAGTGTCACATCTCAAACTCATTTTCTATTTGTAATTTCTTTCTTAGAATACATCTACATTCCCCTTCTGTCCAGTTCTTTACATTGTGGTTAAGTGCACACATTTTAGAGCCAGAATCAGGGAGCTAAAATCCTAATCCAGTGCTCACTATATGAACCTTAAGTAGATTACTTAATATATATATGCCTCAACTTTCTTATCTATAAAACAGAATGTGTTTAGTAAGTTAAGATGCAAAAACTTTTAGTACCATATCTTGGTACTTACGTATCTGCTACTACTAATTTCCTTTCCAATGAATACTGAAAACTTCTTGGGTCAGGTTAATAGATGTGCTTCGTACTTAAAACTTAGTTTAATCTGGGTCCAAAAAGGAAACATATGGCATGCTCAGAATGGTATAGTTTTTAAGGAAAGTTTATATAAAAAGGCTGTTTACAAAGATATGAGTGCAGAGAAATAAGACAGTGACAGAACTTGGGTCTAGGAGAACCAAGAACCAAGCTGTGTAAACAACCCTTAAGCCTGAAAGGCCAGGGTTGAGGTATGGTTACCAGAACCTGAAAGGAAAGAGTCATGTAGCGTTATTGCCTTGAAAGGAGACTTGACCTTTGGTGGGGCTGATCCCAACCAGAGACCAGAGGGTCTGGGACCCTTATTGGCATAATTCCATATGACCCAATCTTCTGACCCAGAGAGCAGAGTGGAGGAGGATGCAGAGATCCTGGGGAGGCAAATACCAATACAGAGCTCTATAGACCTGGGGATAGTGACTGTGCTGTGAATTTTGGGGAAATTATTTTAGAAAATTATTATGTCCCTGTCATCCTAGAAAATGACAAAAGCCTTTGGTTTTCTCTTAAAACTCCTGATAATCGTTATGTACTTGTACTTAGATAATCCCTGGAAGAACATACAACCTAATAAAGGTAGTTATGTGTAAGTGCAGAGGTAAATGTAGACTACTTTCCAATATATATATATATTGTCATTTCATTTTTTGGGGGAAGGGGTTGTGAATTGAACCCACTTAGCTATAATCCCAACACACTATCATTTAATTTTTGATTCTTATAATATATTATGTAATAAAAAATAAAAATAAATTCTGAAAACCCACGGCAGTCTTTCTGGAATCATAGGCTTTGAAACCTTGTTTTCTATACTGTTAATTCTTGTGTCATTTTATTCTTACAGCATTAGAAATGGCTGTCTTGGCTCACTGCACTATCTGCTATGTTTCAGCCTTTCATCCGCTGTAGTTTACAGTGCAGGGATCTAGTTGATGAAGCAAAAAAGTTTCATCTGAGACCTGAGCTTCGCAGCCAGATGCAGGGACCCAGGACAAGGGCTCGTCTAGGTAAGCTGGCGTCTTGGCAGAATGAGGGGATATTTTTCAGTTGCTTCTTGTAGGTGTCATAATGCAGTTGAAAAGAACATTCTGTAAGAAATATAAAGATCTCTTTCAGACCTGCCTTTTATCTTTTTATTTTGTCATCTTAAGACAAGTCATAACCATTCTGTTTTATTTCCTGTAAACCGAGAATATTTTCCCTTTCTATTTCACACACCTATTTGGAGATTAAATGAGATAAAGTATAAAAAGTCTTCATAAATTGTCAAGTTTTATGTGCTGTGTTACAGTTTTATTTCAGTACTTTTAGAGTCTATGAATATTATATTGAATGCCATGTAGTAAGTAGTATGCTCCCATCCACCTCTCCCCTTCCCTTGTATGGATTTTTTTTTTGTCCATTCTGGAATGAAAAGAAGAAGGGAAACAAGCTCAGTGTAGTAGAAAATACAAGGATTTGGGCAGTGATGTGCAACAGTTAAAAACTTGGCCTCTAGTGCCAGGTTTCTGGGTACAGATCACTTACTGGGTGTTTACCTTGGGCAGGAAACTTAGTCTCTCTGTGCTTTCTTTCCTCAAAGGATTTTATGAAGAGTAAATGAAGAAATTTATGTAAAGCTTAGGGTCATTCTTGGCACATTTAAGTGATATCTCTGTTAGGTGCTATTTTAGCAAACAGACCTAGGTTCAAATCCTAGCCTCACCAGTGACTGGCTAGACCTATGATACCAGTTTATCTGAGCCTATGCTTCTACCTCTAAAGTGGCTGTTAGTTTCTTATCTCACTTGGCAATTGGGGTTATTAAGTAAGATAATATAGGTACTGGGGTTTAAACTTAGAGCATCACACTTGCTAGGCAGGAGCTCTACCACTTGAGCCATGCCCCAAGCCCTTTTTGGTTTTAGTTATTTTTCAAATAAGGTCTCACCTTTATGCCCAGGCTGGCATTGACCACTGTCCTCTATTTATGCTTCCCAAGTAGCTGGGATGACAGGTGCACACACCATGCCCAGCTTTTTTTTTTTTTATTTGTTGAGTAGGCTCTCAAGAATTTGCACATGATCCTTCTGATTGCCATATTAAATATTTTCACATTGTTGTATCACCAGTCTCCAGATCTCTTTTCTTCTAGCAGAACTAAAATTTTGTACCCATTAAACAATTCCCAATTCTCCCCTTCCCTTCCTGAGTAGGAACCTTTTCACCAAAACAAAAGCACATAATTCCTCGAGGTTACTTAACTACATAAAAAAAATTTTTTTTTTTTTTTTTTTTTGGCAGCATCGGGGTTTGAACTCTGGGCCTACACCTTAAGCCACTCTGCCAGCACTTTTTGTGATGTGTTTTTGAGGTACAGTCTCAAGAACTATTTGCCTGGGCTGGCTTTTGAACTGCAATTCTCCTGATCTCTGCCTCCGACTAGCTAGAATTAGAGTCATGAGGCCACTGGCGCTCAGCTATAAAAAAAATTTTTTTATTTGATGGCAAAGACATAGACTGGAAAAATATCTATTCAATGTATATGACAAAAGGTTAAGATTTCTAATGTAAAAAAGAACCCAATGGATCAACAAGAAATAGGATAATAACCTTTAAAATATTAGTCAAAAACCTCAGCACCAGAAGAAAAAAATAGATTAGCAAAAGACATGTATAGGCAGCACACAGAAGAGGACATACCAGTGAGCAGCAGTCATTTAAAATGTGCCTCACCAGGACATTAAGTTCTAAGCATCCATGCGCCTTGTGTCCTTTCTTTAGGGATGTGCTTTGCAGATATGAGTGTCAGTATGTAAGGCTGCATGCATGAGAACACTTACCAGAAAAAAGAGGGACGCAACCTGAATTCCCTGAATTGGAGAATTATAATACAGTTGTGCTTTGCAATGTTATGGAACTATTCAAAGTATTGAGTCACATGAACATAGCTAGCTAGACAGACTGGGTTTTTCCTTTTTTTTTTTTTTTTTTTTTTGACAGAGACTGGCCTTGAATTTGTGATTGTCTTGTCTCAACCTCCCAATTACTGGAATTACAGGTATGTTCATCACACCTGGCTGATTTGGCATAATAAGTAGAAAAACTTTTTCACAAAAAAAAAAAAAGGACAGGAATGAGGCCCTGAGTTCAAAACTCCAGTACCACAAAAACAAAGAAACAAATAAAAATGAAAACTCCTGTATGTGTGTATGTGTGTGTACAAGCATAAACAAAAGTATGCTCATAGCCGGTCAGTGGCTAGCACCCGTAATCCTAGCTACTCAGGAGGCTGAGATTGGGAGGATCAGAGAATCAAGGTTTGAGGCCAGCCTGGGCAAATAGTTCATAAGACCCCACCTCCAAAATAGCCAGAACAAAATGGATTGGAGGTGTGGCTGAAGTGATGGAGTACCAGCTTTCAAGTGTGAAGCCCTGAGTTCAAATCCCAGTCCCACCAAAAAAAGTATTTTTATATCCTGTTAACAGAATTCTCCATAGATGTGATGGCAAAGGCATATTAGCAATTCATGTTTTATTTATGTACTCATGTTTTACTTATTACCATTGCATGTGGTGACTTTTATTATTTAAAAAATAAATGGGGATAGGGCTATAGCTCAGTGGTAGAGTACTCGCCTAGCAGGCATGTGGTCCTGGGCTCAATCCCAGCAACACAACAAACAAATTATTTGTAATAATACTAACAAAACAATTCGTATTTTGGTGATGGTGCTAGGGTTTGAGGGACATGTGCTTGCCAGGCAAGTACTCCACCATCTGAACCATGCCTCCAGCCCCTATTAAAACAGTTGTTGTTTTATTTTGTTTTTGGCAGCACTTGGGTTTGAACTCAGGGCCTCACACTTGCTAGGCAGGCACTCTGTCATTTGAGCTACTCCACCAGCCCTTTTTGGTGTTGAGTATTTTCGAGATAGGGTCTTGTGAACTATTTGTCCAGGCCGACCTCCAACCACAGTCCTCCTGATCTCTGTCTCCAGAGTAGCTAGGATTATAGGAATGAGCCACTGGTGCCCATCTCCACTTGATTCTTAATTAGCATCTTCTTCTCAGTGCTTTGTAAGGTATATTGCTACATCTACCTTGTCCTCTGCCACAGAGGTTGCCAACCAGGTACAGGATAATGAGTTTTCATACAACATAAGGAAATTAAATTTATGGTCAAGTCAAAATAGCATGCCAAATAAGGGATTTTACTTTAGCTTTTCCCTCTCTCACAGAAGAAATAATGGAGATTAGTATCCTCATTTGTGTCTGACTCTTTTTCTGAACTAAAGATCAGTACAAATGGAAATGTAAGTCCCTCAATGCTGTTATTTTAGTGGTTCCATCATCTGTCCAGTTCCTCTAAACACACCATAGCGCGCGCACACACACACACTCCTTTCCCACTGCACCAAAATAATGACCATGGCACTGCCAGCATACCTCAGTTTTGTAATGTGCTTTTTCACATTGCTCTTGCCAAATGTCGTAGACACACTTTTCTCATCAAAAAAATAAAAATCTAACAAGTACCCTGAGCTGGGTGAAGTAATTCATGCCTGTTATTCCAGTACTCAGGATGATGAGGCAAGACCAGGGCCAGCCCCAGCTACACAAAGAGTTTAAGGGCAGCCTGGGCTACCTGGCAAAACTGTCTTAAACAGCAACCAAAAAATTTCTGAAATGACTCATACTGACATAAAGTTCTGATATAGATGTATAGCTACCAGAATGTTTACTACGAAACTTTCAGTTAATAGGAAGTGTTATCAGTTCTCTGGGTTTTGCAGCATGATGTATTTCCTAGAGAGCTTCTGTGACCCCCTACTTTAAAAGATGCCTGTATTTTTTTTAAATATTGGAATTGCATAAAGCAACAGAAATAAGAGCCAAAGAATCTATGGAAAACTTTAAAATATGCCAAGTATAGGAAGTACTTCGCAATTGTTATGGCAGTTTTAATTCTCTTATTCATAAATATCCCCTAGCATCATAGATATCTACAATGAGAAATGTGTTTAGATAAAAGGATCATGGTTACATTCTCTGTTCAGGTCAGGTAGGGAAAGTAGCATATGAAGGAGCACACGGAAAGTGCTGTTAAGGACAAAATAACTCATGGTTCTCACCTTTTCCAGCTCGAAGGAACTTTGAGGCACATACAATTAGACTGATATAAAGATCCTTGCCTTTAAGTGCTTTGCTTTTCTAGATGGATCTGCCTGCTGAGACCTACTTGTTGGGTCACTTTGGAGAAGGGGCCTTTTTATTTGGCAACTATACAAGACAAATGCCCTCTTAGGAAATGAAGTGAACTGCATGGTTTATGTGTGGGTGCAGATGTGTTATTAAGAAAAATTTCAGGTAACTGAAGAAGAAGAAGAAGAAGAAAATATACAAACATTATATAAAACCAGAATAATGGAATGATCCTCCATATCCATCACCCAATTTCAGTAATTATTAACTCACTGGTAATTTATATTGAAGCAAATTCCAGCAGGATATAATTCTATCCCAATATCTCTAAAAGATAAAAATGCCCTTTTCACACATGCAAAATGTCATTTGCAGTCTAAAACAACACACAGCTTTGTGTGTTGGTACACACCTATAATCTCAGCATTTGAGAGAGAGAGATGGAGATCATGGGTTGGAGGCTAGCCTGGATTACAGCATGAGTTTAAGGACAGCCTAGGTGACATAGTGAGACCGTATCTCAGAAAAACTAAATAAATTACACACAAAATTCCTTATATCATCATCAGATATCAGGTACATATTTTCTTCTTTTTCCCTATAATTGTTGTTAGTTTTCAGACCCTTAAGTTATTCAAGTCAGAATCCAAAGTCCATATATTGCATTGACTTCCCATCTTTCCTTAGGCTCTTTTAATCCTTTTGATTTTCTTTCCTGCTTTGGTTTTCCTTGCACATTTATTTGTTGAGGAGGCCAGATTGAGCTGTCAAATTTCCCATATTTTGGATTTTGCTTATTACATCCTTATAGTGTTAATTAATAGGTTCTTCTAGCCAGGCTTGGTAGCCTGCAGCCATAATCCCAGCACTTGGGAGACTGAAGCAAAAGAATCACTTGAACTCAGAGGAGTTTGAGACCAGCCTAAGTTATTTAGTGAGACCCTGTCTCAAAAAATAAAAAACATGTTTTTCTGTCCCCCATATTTCCTAGAGACTTGGATAAAATTCAGGTTCAATATTTTGGAAAAGTCATTTCATAGGTAGTGTACTGCCTGTCACATCAGGAAGCACACAGTGTCTGACAGTAACATAATAGCTTTTCACTTAATATTGTAGCAGCCATAGATGACAATCACCAAAGCCATTACCTCTTTAGGGGTTTATCTCGATCTGTTAGGAGCTTCTGTTAGGAGCTTCACGGTGCTACATTTGCTCTTTCAGGTCCTGGTTACTTACAACACAGCCATGTTATTATAGTGCTACCTAGTGGCTGAATTGTCCAAAACTCTACCAAACTGTTCTGTCCATGAGGTCTAGCAGAGTAGGTACATAGGGGATTTCTTCAGAGACTTTTTGCTTTTTGAAAAGAGCCAAGGTAGAAAGTGTTTTATCACAATAAGGCTTCAGGGAAAATGGGAGGATATGAAGGCTGTCAGAATAGCTTCTTTGGGAAAATAAAGAAAAGGACTTCCTTTTAAAAACCCTAGTCTTTGGTGACCTGGCAGTTTTGAAGAATTGACAGGGTATTCCCTGTCATACACACACACACACACATACACACACGCACATATGTATATAAATTGGAAATGTAAATGTACATACAGATGTATACAAATTGGAAATGTAAATTTTCATGGAAAAGAGATTTTTGAAATCTATCACTTGTCCTTTTGAATGGACTCAAACTTGGGGTACCTGGCTCCACAGTTGTGCTGGGTCAAAGCAATTGTCAGAATTGTCAGGCAGGCCCATTCCTAGGAAGTTCTGATTTTGCTAAGACCAGCCAGTTGTAGCTGTGTTCTGATCCTCATGTGTTCTCAAGCCTACCAAAGGTATCAGGTGTCATGCTTCCCATCTTATCTAATGTATGTTTCCAATGACTCCCAGTTACCTGACCTTCTTCCCAGTGGACATTCTCATTTCCCCCATGTCCATGAGAACCCTACACCAAGAAATACCTTTGGGTGGCCAAGATATGTTTTTTGTCCTACTGACTAATTTTGGGAAGCTTGTTACTCATAGAGTGATTCAGCAAATGCCCAGTCACTTTCTCACTGGGTGCCTGGAAGATCCATCTGTGAAAGACCTCCCTGGGCTTGAATTTCAGTGCTAGGAACTCTCAGTATACCAAGAGGGCCACATCTGATCCTGATAAGTATCTTTGAGGGTATATGTATGTGAGTAATACATGTCCCTTTAATAGTGACATTATACACATGCTATATATTAGTGTTTTGAGTGTTCAGTTATGTTCTGTGATAATTAACATTGTACTTGAACATTGATTTTTTTGTTTTTTCTTTTTTTGTAATTCTGGAGTTTGAACTTAGTGCTTTGTTCTTCCAGACAAGTGTTCTACCACTTGAGCTACACCTCTAGCCTGGACATTAAATATTTTTACAAGGAAGCTCTTGGGATTTATTTCAAATAGATATGTATTTTTTCATTTTGAATATATACATTCTTCTGAAAAACAAACAATCTATCACTTGGTTCCTAAGCCTCAGCCTTCAACCTTTTTTTTTTTTTTTTTTCTTTTTTTTGGTGGGACTGGGGTTTGAACTCAGGGCTTCACGCTTGCAAAGCAGGTGCTCTACTACTCGAGTCACACCTCCAGTCCATTTTGCTTTGTATATTTTGGAGATGGGGTTCTCTTGAACTGTTTGCCCAGGCTGACTTTAAATCCTGATCCTCCTCCATCTCAGTTTCCCAAATAGCTAGAATTACAGGTGTGAGCCACCAGTGCCTGGCAGCCCTCAAAATTTTTTTTGCAACAAGTTTAGAAAGGTGTTTTTCCTCCATTACCAAAAACTCCCAGTTTGGGTTTTTAGGCTGAAAAGAGCAAAGAATGCCTTTAATTTCCCACCTTATACCTATTGTGCAATGAGTTATTATGCATAACAGTATTTCAGTTATTATGTTAACCAGAAGCCATCTAGCTAGGTTGAAATGGTGTGGTAGAATGTTTTTGTTGTCTTTTAATGTTGTCCAGAAATTTACATTTCAGAGATTCATGTCCTCAGGAAGAATACCTTCCTGTTGTTCAGCCTTGTAATGTGTCTCCTTTTTCAGATTGCTTCTCTTAGCACATAAGACAAGGTATCATACAACTGTTTCTACTTACACTTCCCCGTAAGTAGTTAGCCAGCCAGTCTGGTGAAGTAACCTGTCTTTTCCTACCTTTGTTCTTAGGAGCCAATGAAGTGCTTCTGGTGGTAGGGGGTTTTGGAAGCCAGCAGTCTCCAATTGATGTGGTAGAGAAATATGACCCCAAAACTCAGGAGTGGAGCTTTTTGCCAGTAAGTAATGGGGCCATTTGTCCCAGAACTCAAGTGTCCACATTCCCCAACTCCAGATCATAACTGATCCAGCCCTGAGAGTAGAAAAGCCTTGTAAGAGCATGTTCCTTCCAACAGTGCTGTGTACACAGTAGGTAATGAGTAAACAGTTTCTGAGTGTTTAGATTAGAAGACTCAGCTCCAGAAATGTAAGTGGCCCTATATTAAATGAAATTCAATCAGCCACCATTTAGGCACCCAGTGTACTCCATTGGTCATGCTGTATTAAACTGAATTGGAGTTCAGTTATCTTACATCAAACAATTTTCAATTGAAATGGGAAGTTTTTATCTTTCTCCCTCTATAAGTCTCTATTTCAATACTGAATGAACAGTAATGATTTCTGAGAAGTCATGGAGATCTTTTGAACTAGTCCTCCTACATTGTAGGATCTTTGAATCCTAGCCCTCTAGCATTATGCCAGTACTTTCCTACAGTGTGAAGGGATATCATTCTCTTAGCCAGGGTCTTATGTAAAGGAAAGGTGTCTGGTGCCAAACAGTAGAAAGCACTGGAATGGGGTCAGGGGCAGAAGGCTTGCATCTTTCAAGCCCCACAACAGTCATCTCATTCAGCAGGCAGTCAGCTGGAGGCCACTTGAGGATGAATCGCTGTTCCAAGGAGGGTTCATGGTGAAGGAAAGAAACAAAGAGGCATAGATAAAGACAGCAAGGATAGCAAAAGGTAATGCTGAAAACTTGCTCCACTGAACTGCTCTGTATCTTTTCTCCCCAAACCCAAAGAGCATCACTCGCAAGAGACGGTATGTGGCCTCTGTGTCCTTACATGACCGGATCTACGTAATTGGTGGCTATGATGGCCGTTCCCGCCTCAGTTCAGTGGAGTGTCTAGACTACACAGCAGACGAGGATGGGGTCTGGTATTCTGTGGCCCCTATGAATGTCCGAAGAGGCCTTGCTGGAGCTACCACACTGGGAGGTAGGGCTTGGTGTACAGGCAATGTTTTCCTTTTTTTTACCCTTTTGATATAGAGCTTCACTATGTAGTCTAGGCTGGCCAAAACTCATGATCCTCCTGCCTCTGCCTTCCAAGTGCTGGGATTACAGACATGTGCCACCATGCCCAACTAATGTTTGCATCTTATTGTAGCTGGATCACTGTTCTTACTGCTCCTGTTGTATGGCAGGAGCATGAAGTAGGGAGGATAAATTGGTATGGGCAAATAGTTCCTTTTTTGCTTTTGGAAATATCAGTGTTAACAGAAACTGTTCATTATTTGTGGATATTTCAAAGTTGGTTATTCAGGTTCCATTGTGCTATGTGAGAACTGGCACTAACTGTATTTTTACAAACTCCTTTGGTAGTCTTCAAATACTCTTAAGAATTTCATTCTGCCTCCTGCTACTTAGGAGGAGAGATCAGGAGAGATCATGGTTCGAACCCAGCCCAGGAAAATAGTTCCATGAGACCATATCTTGAAAAAAAAAAAAAAATTACAAAAAAGGTCTGGTGGAGTGGCTCAAGGTGTAGCTCCTGAGTTCAAGCCCCAGCACTGCCCAAAAAAGTAAAGAAAGAAAGAATTTCATTCTTGGGCTAAAGGCATGGTTCAAGCAGTAAAACACCTGCTTTATAGCAAGCAAGAAGCCCTGAGTTCAAACCCCAGTACTGCCAAAAAAAGATAATTTTACCTTTCTTGTACTATTAATGTATTCTAATATAAAACACTATGAAAAAAAAAAGAATTTCATCTTAACACCTTTTTTTTACATTTTTATTAGTGTATATTAATTTGACAAAGAGTTTCATTGTGATATTTCCATACATGCATATAATGTAGTTTGATGAAATTCATCCCCTCTGTTACTCTTTCTCATCCCCTCTACCTCTTTTAAAACTTTTTTGTTTGTTTGCTTGTTTTTTGGCAGTACTAGGGGGTTGAATCAGGGCCTCCCACTTATAGGCAGGTGCTCTATCACTTGAGCCACTCTGCCAGTCCTTTTTGCATTGGTTACTTTTGAAATGGGATCTTACTTTATGCCCAGGCAGGCCTGCACCACAGTCTTCCTATTTGTACTTCCCTGCATCTCTGGGATAACAGGCACACACCACTGAGTCCAGCCATTGGTTGAGAAGCAGGGGTTTCAAAAACTATTTGACCAGGTTGGTGTCAAATTGCAGCCCTCCTAATCTCTGCTTCCTGAATAGCTAGGACTACAGCCGTGAGCCACCATGCCAGCTAAACAGTTTAACAGGCTTCATAATTCTATTTTCATACATGTGTATTTATACATGTACTTTGACCGTGTTTGGTACCCCCATCACATCTTCTGTCATTTTACCCCTCCTGATGGTCCCAACCCCAACAGTCCCTGTTTTACATACCTGTCATTGATTTTTACAGGTCTCGATTCCATATAGGAAATCTGGCTTATTTCGCATAACATGATGATTTCTCAGTCCATCCATTTTCCTACAAATGACATAATTTAATTCTTCTTTATGGCTGAGAATACTCTATTGTGTATCTATACCATATTTTCTTTATCCATTTACTGGTTGATGGGCACCTAGGCTGATTCCATACTTTGGCTGTTGTAAGTAGTGCTGCTATAAACATTGGTGTGCAAGTATCTCAATTAAATGCTTACATTCCTCCAGAATGTGTAGCAGGAGCATATGATAGTTCTATTTTTAGTTTCTTGAAGAACTTCCATACTGATTTCCATAGTGTTGTGCAGTTTGCATTCTCACCAACAGTGTATAAGGGTCCCTTTCCCACATCCTTGCCAGCATTTGTTATTTGTTCTCTTGCTGATTGCCATTCTGACTGGGGTGAGATGGACTCTCAGTGATTTGCATTTCCTTTATGACTAAGGATATTGAACATTTCTTCATGTATTTATTAGCCATTTGAAAACTGTCCAATTCATTTGCCCATTGGAGTTTGTTCTTTCATTGTTTAATTTTTGGAGCTCTTTATATTCTGGATATTAGTCCTTTGTCCTATGAACAGCTGGCAAAGATTTTCCCCCATTCTGTAGGTTGTCTCTTGATTCTGATAATTGTTTCCTTTGCTGTGCTGAAGCTTTTTAATTTGATGAAATCCTATTTGTCAATTCTTGTTCTTGTGTCCTGGTAATTGTGGTTCTATTCAGATAAGTGTTACCTGTGCATATGTCTTCAAGGGTTTTCCCTATGTTTTCCTCTAGCAGTTCCAAAGTTTCAGGTCTTACATTAAGACCTTTACAGGATGAAAGATAAGAATCTAGTTTCAGTCTTATACATGTGGAGATCCAGTCTCCCTATCACCTTTTGTTGAAGACACTGTCCTTTCTCCAACATAGGATTTTGGCACCTTTGTCAAAAGTCAGGTGGCCATAGCTATGTGGGTTTATTTCTAGAACATGTATTCTATTCCACTGATCTACCTGTGTGTTTTATGCCAGTATTATGCTGTTGTGTTACTATGACTGTATAATTTGAAGTCAGATATTGTGATACCTCTAACATTGCTCTTTTTGCTCAGGATTGATTTGGTTATTTGGGTTTTTTTGGACTTCCAAATGAATTTTACAATTGATTTTTCTATTTCTGTGAAAAATTACATTGGAATTTGTATAGGGATTGCATTGGATCTGTAGATTATTTTCTGTAGTATAGCCATTTTCACAATATTAATTCTGCTGATTCATGAACTTGGGAGATCTTTCCATCTTCTATTGTCTTCTTTAATTTTCTTACTTCAGTGTTTTATAGTTTTCATTATAGAGTTCTTTCAGCTTCTTAGTTATATTTATTCCTATGTATTTAATTTTTTTTCTTGAGCTATTGTGAATGGGATTGTTTTCCTGATGTTTTTTCTCATTATTGGTATATACAAAACCTATTTTTTTATGTTGATTTTGAATCCTCCTTTGCCAAAAGAGTTTTTTGCTCTCAGACATCTGAAGGACCTGTGGGGAGTTTGTACAGAAAAGAGTTCTTTGAAATCTCTCATTCTTATTTAATAGTCTGAAATTTGTTCATGCTGAGCAGATATGATCTACGTCTCTGGAGGCTTTGATGGAAGCAGGCGTCATACCAGCATGGAGCGATATGACCCAAACATTGACCAGTGGAGCATGCTGGGAGATATGCAGACAGCTCGAGAGGGTGCAGGACTAGTAGTGGCCAGCGGAGTGATCTACTGTCTAGGTACTCAGTCTGGGATGCAGGGATGGAGAGAATTCAATGGTTACCAGACTCGGGTGGGATCCTTTTCCACCAGAATGAAGTTCTTAGGCTTCCTTTAACAAAAACTCTGGTCTATTTCAGTATATTCCATTAACTGGGAAAAAACAGAGTACTTTCTAATCTCTCTTTTGGTTATTAGAACTCTGTAGGAGAACTGAAACTAAACGAGTTAGATGTACTCAGAGAAGGCCACTTGGAATGAGCCTGATAATTGATTTCTGCAGTGATCTCTATTTTGTCTTCCAGGAGGATATGATGGCTTGAATATTTTAAATTCAGTTGAGAAATATGATCCCCATACAGGACACTGGACTAATGTTATGCCAATGGTCACCAAACGTTCTGGTAAGACCGAATCTGAGGAAACTGACAAAAGATCGTGCTGTCAAATCTTATACATGCATTGGTGGTGTGGTCACAGGATCAGGGTATCAGTAAATCAGAGTTATAGTTCCTGTGTACTTACTGTAATTATGAGTCCAATTCCAAGGGCTGGAGGAGTGGCTCAAGTGGTATAGCACCTGCCTAGCAAGTGTGAGTCCTTGAGTTCAAACCCAGTACCACCATAAAAAAGGAAAAGAGAGGTGAGTCCAATTCCACTCTTCTCTTTGCCTCTATTGTCTCTAAATGGTAGTGAAGATAAAAATAGCTTAACCTTATATATATAAAATAATATATATATAGCTTTTGAGGGCAGAAGCCTTCTTGAGTTATTTATTTATTTTGGCATTTCTGGGTAGGCTTTTATTTATTTTTAATGTCCTTGTTCATTTCCTGTGGTCTAGAATATCCAGTACAATTTTGTGCATATAGTACTTGTTAAATGTTTAGTAAACAAGATTTCTGGTGCATTAGAACAAGAGTAACTATTTATCATCACTGAAAAGCTGGGTTTTTGTTTTGGATTTTTGTGTGTGTGCTGAGGATTGAATGCCAGGCTTTGTTTACACTAGGCAAGCCCTCTGCCTCTGAGTTAAAGCCCCATCCTCAACTGAGAGCTTTTTAATGTAGTCTATTCTGGGGTGTAAGAAAGGAGAAAACACTACACTATTTTAATTGACTGCCCCTGGGTAAAACTGCCCCAGAACCATTGTCACAACTCCTTTCCTTCCTTTCACCTTTTATTTTACTGACACCTTTTTCTTACTTCCTTATTTTCTCCTACTGAAGAAAGTTGAACTCCTTGTTAAAGTGAAGAAAAGAACCATTTCAGTTTTTCTTTTATCATTTCAAGTCCTAGCCAAATGTTTACAAATGGAATAACCTGTGCTGTACTAAATTATTCTAGACCTGTTTGACCACATCCACATCCTTCATCTCCCCTAGAATTTAGCTAGCCATTAGTGACATGTTTTGTTCCTAGAATTCAGACGCTGGGCTTAGTACCATTCATCTGCTAATATCTCCTTTCCCCCAGGTGCAGGAGTAGCCCTACTGAATGACCATATCTATGTGGTGGGGGGATTTGATGGTACAGCCCACCTTTCTTCGGTTGAAGCTTACAACATTCGCACTGATTCCTGGACAACCGTCACTAGTATGACCACTCCACGATGCTATGTAGGGGCCACAGTGCTTCGGGGGAGACTCTATGCAATTGCAGGGTAAGGATTTAGAAACCGGGGTAATCATTATGTGTCCAGGGCAAGAGTCTGTGTGCTCCAGTCCTCATTTTGGATGGAGACATAGGTTGGGTGGGGGAAAACACCTCCAGTAAAACTTTAGTGAAGGACTTGTATATAAGGAATAGAAAGCTCATTTCTCTCTTTTGCTTTTTCCCACTCAGGTATGATGGGAATTCCCTGCTGAGTAGCATTGAGTGCTATGACCCTATCATCGACAGCTGGGAAGTAGTGACATCGATGGGAACCCAGCGCTGTGATGCTGGGGTGTGTGTTCTTCGAGAAAAGTGACTATTATTGGAGCATCATCCAGAGCTAGCAACCAGTCCAAGGGACAGTTTGTGGGAGAATCAAGGATCATTTCCACAATGTCTATTTCTCACTGTGTGCACAGGGTGATTACAAGCACCAGTGCAGTGATGATTGTACTTATTTGACACACTCCCTCATGGTGGTAATGTCCCTCAGCAGGGTGGGTAACATGCAAGGGAAGAAAATGCACATTGAGTGGATATGAGAACAGATCACTCCTCCATCTGGTCGGGGAGCACTTTCTTGTCGTTTATGGCTTACCATGTGCGTGGGAGAATATATATGTGTGTGTGTGTTGTGCTTCATATATTGCAGAGAAGTAAAGTGAGTATGGCCTGCTAGATGTGGACAGTACCCAGCCTAGATGATTGAAAGGATACCAACTTGCATAAGCTTGGTAAAAGCCAAGTCTTTCCCCCCTACCAGGAAAATGTCTTTTTTAATCTACAGGTAGCTAGGGGCATCATAGTTCCATTCCGGAGGAAAACAAAAGGGAGAGCCCTATCAAACTTTGGGAGCCTAAGCTAGAAAATCACATTATACTCCTTAAGGGGAAAGGTCCATCAGAACTGGAGTTAGAATAAGTGGTGTGAACTGAATTTAATGGAATGTGAGTGAACCCAGAACACCACTGAAGTATAACCTGGAAGACTGAGATGGATGTATTGTTTGAAGAATTTTTTTATTTCCCTAAGGTATTTCTACAGTAGAATGTTGTACATCTTGGCTGAGATGAAGACTGTCTGAAAGAATAACGTTGGGGTGAGAGGAGAGTGCATAAATATGGGAGTTGAATATACCTGGGGACAAACTAGAAGAACCTGTGACTTTACAGTTGTCTTAGTCCCTGCCAGGGCACAGCAGCCATGGCAATATTTGTCTTGAATGGGTGAAATACTCTTTGTTGAATCAAATGCTACTACACTGTTACACTTCTACATATTTATTGGGGGATGGGATGGGGGTGACAGCAGCCTAGTAGTTCAGCTACCTAATTATGTTCCTATTCATCTAAGGTCATATTTGTGCTAAGGAGTGTTTTTTTTACTGCTGTGTTTGGTACATTTAGTCCTCTTACTACTATAAGTTTTCCTCACCTGTCTTTAGCGTGAATTTTATTCATCTTTGGGCAGAATAATCAAGAACAATGAAAATTCTTTTGTCAGTTCCAGTACTTCTGCTATCACCATTTCTGAGCTACCATTCAAGGCTCCTCTGTGTCATGGAGTACAGTTTTTGCTTTCTGGATATTGGGTGTGTGGAATGTGATAACCTAAACAAGGGTGCCCTTTCCCTTTGCTCTGGAATTCTATTTTTTTCCTCTCTCCCTGAGTTATATTGACCTATGAGTTAATTTCCTTTGTATTTTTTTTAAAAAAATATTAAAAATCACCTGTCTCAAATGCCGTTAAGAGTCCATGACTATCAAGCTCTGCCTTCAGCAGACATCTTGGGGGACAGGAATAGAGATCAGCTGTAGGTACTGTCTCTTCATCTCTTCACCTCATGTTGGCTGACTGGTGCTGATGTTTCTGTTAGACACAGGGAAGAGGTAGCACTGTACTACTGCAGAAATTCTCACCTGTAAATGTTTACTTGAATTTGTCATATTTATCAGCCCTTCTCACACCTGTTTGCTTGAAAACCAAAGGAAGTCTTGAATTAATTTAGCATCAACTTTATTGTTAAGGTTTTAGTCACTCCATCCATTTTGTTTGATTTATCATATGTGTTGTAAACAGCTATGCAGAAGGCCTGAGAAACTGCAGAAGTCCTGCTGGTCCCAGAGTGAAAAGAAGGAGAAAAGCCACAAGAGGAAGGATTTTGTTTTTGTGGTTTTTGTTTTTGAGACAAGGTCTCACTGTGTAGCCCAGTCGGGCCTCATACTTGCAATTAACTTTTGCCTTGGCCTCCTAAATGCTGGAATTACCGATGTGTGTCACCATCCCTGGCTGAGGAAGTCATTTTCACTAAAGAAGCCAACCTTTCTTTGACAGATGGATTGTGCCTTCTAATTGAACCAGTCTGTGAAACAGGTCATCTGTCTCAGGAAGAGATCCAGGGGAGGCTGAAGGGGAGGAGAGAAATGGGCAGAGGACTGAGGCATCTATGCTGACTTCTGAGTTGCAGACCATTCACAGACAGTTCATGCAGTGAAGCAACAACTGAACATTCCATTAAAAAAAAAAAAATCAACATGTAAAACTCCTTTTCCACTGTTCTCACTTTTATACACTTAGTCTCACACATACACAAGAGCCCTCTAATTTGGTGGGTTCCTCCTGTTATTCTAGCTCCCACAACTACAGCTACCTAATCTAGGAGACCTTTTATCTGTGTCATCTTCATACAATACAGATACCCAATTAGTTTGTAATCTACACAATTTTGTCTTTTAATTGTTCTAAGTCCTCTTACCTTCATTCCTTCTGCTACCAGATAGCTCAGGCTTTTTTTCTTTTTGGTGATACTGGAGTTTGAACTCGCGGGCCTCATGCTTGCTAGGTAGGTGCTCTACCACTTAAGCCAACCCCTCCACCTTAACCCCCAACCCTTTTTACTTTAGTTATTTTTTAATATTGATTTTTTTGCCCAGAACCAGGTTGGACCTCAGTCCTCCTAACTATGCCCCCCATGCAGTTGGGATGACCATGCCATGCTTATTGCTTGAGATGGGTCTCCCCAGCAGTTTGCCCTGGGCTGGCTTTGAACAACCATCCTCCTAATCTCTGCCTCCCAAGTAATTGGGATTACAGACGTGAGCCACTGTGCCTGGCTCAGACCTTTTATCTCTGTGCTGGATTCATGAAGTTAATAGTCTCCTCAGATTTACTATTCTTTTCCCCTCTTACTATCTAGACTTCCTGTTTTGAGATCAGAACCTTTCTGAAGCGCTTTTATGATCATTACAGAACTTCACAGATTATCAGTAAATGATTTCTGTCCTCCAATATCTATTGATTCTCATTACCTGTACTATTAAGTTCAGATTCTTAGCATGATATTAGACCCATGGGGATCTAAGCCCAGTTCTGCTTTTCTGATTTTACTGTTACTACCTTTTTTTCCCCAAGCATAATGTGCTTCAGCCACTGATAGCCTAACCATTCCTGAGTTTGATTCCACCCTGGTTTTTATATTATACTGTTCCTCTGTCTGAAATCTTGCTTTCCTGACAGTCACCTCTTGATGTCTGATAAAAAGGTACCTAGATAAAGAAACCTTAACTCCCCAGACGGAACTACTCCCTAATACATGCTTCCATTTACAGTACTTTTGTTCCTCTGATTGACCTTATCATAGATCTTCCAGTTCGGCCTTCCTGTTTAGGCTGTATTCTCATATGCAAAGTGCCTTAGGATATAGCAAGTCTGCTGGGTTGTTACTTACTAAATATGGAACTAATGAAAAATAAAGAGGAAGCAAAGATGATAGGGGATATTGGGTACATTAGACATAAATCAGACGGCTTAGTTCCCCCTCTTTCTTTTCCCCCTGCCCATTTCAGGAAACCCATGGCCTGTTGCACTAGAACTAATAAGCTGGGAATACAGTGTAATAAGAGCAGTGGTTTTAGAGCTGCGCTTGAATCTATGGACCACGGGAAGATCTTTGATCTTTGCCTTCATTGTGCACTGGGGAATAACAAGAGTGCAAATCCTGTAAGGAAACTGGTGATTTAACATGTTTGCAAAAGCACTAATATGTTGCTGCATCACTATGATTAGAACTGAGACTTGTAAAGCTTCCAAGCATCTTTTTCCTCCTCCAAAAAAATTACACATCGCTCTAAGTTGCTATTTATAGACAAAACTAATGTGGCTAAATCTTCTGAACGGTAGTCCAGCCCAGATTCCTTCCACACTAACCCCACCCGATAATGCTCCCATCCATTCACGAGACAACTGAAATCTCAGAAAACTAAAGGGTAAAGACCATCCTTAGCGACCAGGTGGCTATGCAGAGAAAGGACTTGTCATGGGCCCCACGAAGTGCAGCTGTCACAAAGCCATACCGACACCCAGTCACTCGGGTAAAGCAATGAATGAGCGGCGCTAGCTCAGCACAGTCCGGTGTTGGTGTGGGGGTGGGGGAGCGACGCCTGCGCAGAGAGGGCAACCGTGAGTGCGCCCCGCCCCTGACGAGCTGCGCCTGCGCGGTCAAGAGCGGGTGGGGCAGAAGCCGCGCGTGCGCGGTCGTGGTGGAGGAGGCTGCAGCAGTATGGCAATGGAACCAGCGGAGCAGCTGAACGAGTTAGTGTCAGCCGACGGCCGGAACCGGAAAGCGGTGCTTTGCCAGCGTTGTGGCTCCCGGGTGTTGCAGCCAGGGACCGCCCTATTCTCCCGCCGACAGGTAGGGAGGCAGGTTAGAGGCCACTTTCATGCGCACCCTCCAAGCGGCCGAAGCGGTAGGAGTCTGATTCCCGGCTCCTCGGTTTCCGGAGACGGCACGCATCCTCTCGCCTTCCGTAAGCCCCGCCCTCCCGAGTCTAGGCCCCGCCCCTCGAGCTCCGCTTGGCGTGTCTCCGCCCCGCTGCCGCGGGAGTGGGACGGGGTGCTGTCCTTGATCTGAATCCTTTTCCGAGGAGAACTTTCCGCTGTGCCCCTGCATCCAACGGTGGCCCGCCGGGGGAAAGCGCCCCGGCCTTCCCCCAGATCCTCCGAGCGCAGGCAGAGAACCCCTGCGCGCCGTCGGGCGGTGTCCGCGTGCCCCAGCCCGCTGCTTCCTAGACTTCGGGTCTTTGCCGCCGCGCGGTGCGCAGGGCGCCTGAGAGTAGTTTGATTCCTGCGCCTCACCAGCTTTGCTGCCCAGAGACAACTTTGGTGCGGAGACAGTAACTCCTAGTGCACTTTGCCAAGGCACTACAAGCCAGAGTTCAGGATAGTCATATTTCAAGTACCGTAGATACCTGAAGTCCTGGAAATAAATCTCGAAGACGGGGGTGGGGTTTGCCTTCTGGTTAGGGGTTTGCGTGTGTGACTAAGGTTTGACTCAGGGCTTCCTGCTCGCAAAGCAGGCACTCTACCACTTGAGCCACACCTCCAGTCCATTTTGCTCTGGTTATTTTGGAGATGGGGGTCTCAAACTGTCTGCCGAGACTGACCGCAAACCTCAATTCTCGATCCTCCCAGTCACAGCCTACCAAGTAACTAAGATTACAGGTGTGAACCACTGGCGCCCAGCTGGAACTTGTTAGTACCCTTCCTGCCATCGTCATCACAAGTGAGAAAGCTTAAAAAAAAATTTCATTTTGGTAAACTTTTCATTGACACGTGGCAAAGTGTAATCTCGCTTCACCCAGGTGCATTCAGATCCTGTCACCTAAAATGATTTTTAAAACAGGATCATTTTACTGTTTCGTGTGACTGAATGTCCAATATAGAAGGAAGAGGCACCCTATTTCTCCAAAAGCCGAATCCTGTTCATAAGAGGAGAACCAGTGTCTTCCTTGTTCTGTGGGTTTTAATGACAGTCTAGGGAAGGGCGGAGCTCCCTTGTTCTCTTGATAAGATTTCCAAGGATTGGGTTAGAGTTTTCAGGTGGTTTGTTTCAACAGCGTGCCTGCTGTTCTAGAAAGAAGCCTAGGAAATGTTTCTGTTTTAATTCTAATCTCTCCCCCCCACACACACACACACTTTTTTTCTTTTTAAGTCATAAAGGGATTTTCTTCTGTCTCTTTGTTTTGCTTTTTGTTTTACCATGGCTTCAGTGTTTCTGGAAATTTCCAGTTCTCCCCTTAATTTCCATCCTAATTTTCTTCCTCCTTTCCAAAAAAAACGTAATTTCTAGGACATGATGTAAACAAGAAGTTTCGAAAAATCTCATGGAACATTCTAAACAGTTAGTACTCCCTCCCCTGCTACATAGTGTGTACTTCAAGGAAGGGAAAAAAAAAAAAAAGTTCCTTGCCTTCAGAGAACAAACAGTTTGCAACTTGAAGGGCACTGAACTCTTTAACTAAAGCCCCATAAAGTATCAGGGTAGTTCTTTTTAGTCCTAACCCAGAAATGCTGAGAAATCACCACAGGGCAATTACAACAAAGCTAGTACTCATCTCCTAGGGTGGTAAAGAGGTGCTTCCAGCCATTAAATAAGCCTGTAGAAACGCAGGGTGTAAGGAGGCAGTCAGAGGCAGCCCATAGCATTCTCACTCCATTCAGCAAAACAGACTAGTCTCCAGATGGGAAGAATTTTAAGGACTAGACCCAGCTGGTCTAACGCAGCTTCTCAACCGGGGATGACTGTCTCCCCAGAGGGAAAACTCCAGAGACATGTCTAGAGACATTTGGTTGTCACAGTAGTGGAGGTGTGCTAGGGCATCTAGTAGGTAGAAGCCAGGGAGGCTGCTCAGCATCCTACAGTGCCCAGCCTGGTCCTAACAGCAAAGAATTCTTCAGCCCAAAATGTCAGTCTAAAATAAACACTGCCAAACACCATCCTATCTATTATTTCAGTTACCCTTATTAACTTTTTTTTCTTTTTGCGGTACTGGAATTTGAACTCGGTATTACCCTGAGCCACTCCACCAGCCCTTTTTTTGTGTGTTGGGTATTTTCGAGATATGGTCTCGTGAACTATTTGCCCAGGCTGGCTTCAAACCACCATCATCCTGATCTCTGCCTCCTGAGTAGCTAGGATTAAGGTGTGAGCCACTGGCATCCAGCTAAACTATTTGTATTTTTATTGTTTATACCACAAGACTATGAGATCCTGTGTCTTGTTCACGTCTGTATCTCCTACATCTAGACTGCACATAAATGAGAACTTAGGAAATGCTTGGATTTGAATAAATTAATGGATAAAAGCTATTGTCCAGGGTAAATAACACAGCTGGAGGAGCAGCTCAAGCAGTAAAAGTGCCTGCCTAGCAAGCATGAGGCCCGGAGTTCAAGCCCCAGTACTAGCAAAAAAAAAAAAAAAAACTTAACAGGGTAAATAACGGGTTAGTGTGGATATATAGATCAGTGTGTTTAGCTGGCACCATTACTGTATACAGTATGTGATTCCTATTCTTTTTAGCCATATAAAATATTCATATCCTTGAACTTGGACCGGGGCATGGCCCTGAGTTTAATCTTCATGAATTTGAGTGTCATCATTGCATAGGGGCCATACCAATCTTCTCTGTAGTGTTCCAATTTTAGTATATGTGCTGCTGAAGTGAGCACATTAAGATTTTTTTTTTAATAGATTATTGGGAGGTGGTAGACTGTGGAAGGTAGGGTCTGGTTAGAGGCAGTGGCTCCCTGGGGTTTGTTCTTTGGGGATGTCTTGCTCTGACCCCTCCTGTCATTGCTCTGCTTCTTGTCTGCCATGATACGAATGCTGTGCCACTGAACCCTCCGAAACGGTGAGCACAATAAATCTTTCCTCCCTTGAGTTGTTTCTGTCAGGTATTTGGTCACATTTACAATAAAACTAACAAATTGGTGTTTCACAGTCATCCCAAAACAGTGACTTTCAACAACAAAGGCATTTTGCTCAGGAACTTAAGAGTTGACTGGGCTTAGCTTGGCAGTTCTTCGAGGTTTTTCATGGCATTCAGAAGGGTCATCTTGAAAGCTTTTTCCCTCACAATTTGCCTGTGGGCTGAGATGATTCAAACACATGATCCTTAGAGCAGGCTTTGGGGGATATCTCTGCATTTCTGTGAACCTCTCCATATGGTCTTTCTGCATAACACTCTCAGAGTAGCCTGGACTTCTGACGTAGTGGTTGAAGGGCCCTAGAGCAAGTATCCCAAGAGCAACGGCAAAAGTTGCATGGCTTTTTAAATTTTTTATATTTTTATTTACTTATTTTTGTAGTATACAGGATCAAACCCAGGGCCTCATGCATGCTAGGCAAGGACTCTACCCTTTGAGCTATACCCTTGTTTTTTCCCTTTTGTTTTTGTTTTCTTGTTGTTTGAAACAGGGTCTTGCTATGTAGCCCAGGCTGCTTCAAATTTATAATCCTGTCTCAGCCAGATAGCTGGGATTATAGGCATGCACCACCAGGCTGCGTTTGCATGCCTGTCACTTCTCATTGCACTGTAGTCATCGAGGCAGTCACCACAGCCAGCCCATGCTCAAAGGCAGCAGCACTGACTTCACCTCCTGGTGTAAAGATTGTCACAGAGCTTATAGATGTGCTTTAAAACCACAAGTAGTGTACACACATGCACCAGAGGCTTCATTCTGACGATTGGGAAGTCATCTCCATTACAGGCTACAAGATCCTAGGGATAACATTCTAAATTCTAGAGCTAGGTTTTCCTGTTTTTAAGACAAATCCAGCACATTCATAACATGATAGGTAAAGCCAGATATCCCTTCCATCCTCTTAACAAATACTTGAGTTCCTGCCCTGTGCTAAATGACAAGGAAGGGAAGTTCCCTGCTCTCCAGAAGCTGATTTTCTAGTAGAGAGAGAGATACATCATAATAAGAAATTCTCACAAATCAGTAAGTGAAAAAGGAGAGGCATGAGGAAACAATTGTTCTAGGAACACTGAATGTATTCATGATCTTGACTGTGGTAATGGTTTCACCACCACATACATGTGCCAAAATGTATCAAACTGTGCACCTTAAATATGTGAGAGTTATACATCACTTATACTTCAGTTAAGCTTTAAAAAAAAAATACAGTGGGCAGTATGGAAAGCTAACTCAGATTGTTTGGGCAGAGAAGACTTCCTGAGGTGGTTAGTTTGAGCTGAACACTGAAAGGAAGCTGGCCAAGCTAAGATATGAGGGAGGGCAGACATAAGCTGGTTGAGGAAGTAAAGTGGCCAGTGGGGAGGGCAGATGCTCACTGAGCAGGCGGGAGCCTGGGGCGGGTTGGCCTGTAGTCTGTGGTGTGTGTAGTGGGGAAGTTGCCATCTGAAGCACCCCTTCCGTATTTCTTAAGAATGATGGCAGGCACCGGAAGAGCCACCCAGCATCCTAGTCTGTAACCTACTGAGACTGTTGTGTTTCTGTGTTTCTTTTTCTTTTTTCTCCATTCCAAAAAGCTGCTAGAGAGCCGGGTGAAGTGTAAGCAGTGGTCAGGAGGTGGGTGAGCGGCCAGTTCAGTTACAGTCCTTGTGTTCTCGTTCACTGCAGCTTTTCCTTCCCTCCATGAGAAAGAAGTCAGCTCTGGCTAAAGGTAGCGACCCTGACGGCGATCTTCTCCAGGACCACTGGCTGGTTAACGACATGTTCACCTTTGAGAACGTGGGCTTCACCAAGGACGTTGGCAATGTCAAGTTCCTGGTCTGCGCAGACTGTGAAATTGGACCCATTGGCTGGCATTGCCTAGATGACAAGAACACTTTCTATGTGGCCTTAGAGCGGGTTTCCCATGAGTAACTGGGGGGATGGAGACTCGCTCTACCCCCAACTATAAAAGCTTTCTCCACAGAACTGGCATTGAACCTGGTCTAACTGCTGTGCTGCTGTCTTCTCTGCAGTGCCCTTGAACGTGCAGCTTCCTTCAGGCCTCTTGTTTAGTCACGCTTTGTGTTAGAACATGTCCCAGCCTCCTAATTTTGGGACCCTGTCGTACCTCCACAGGTCTAGTCTCGTCACTGGCAACCTGCCTCAGCTATTTTGCTTTCTTTTTTTAAATCATATTATTGGTATACTGGGGGTACAGTGACATTTACAAAAGTTCTTACAATATGTCATAGTTGAGTTCACTCCCTCTGTCATCCTCTTTTGTATGCCCCAGCTCTCTTTTAACCCAGGGCTCCTTTTTATCATGCTCTGAAAGAGCAGTATCCAGCCCTTTAGTCACGATGACATATGACAAAATGCTCATGTGCTGATAGTTGAAACTCCAACTTTTTCTCTCATTCAAGAAAGCATATAAGCATCTGAGAGTCACTTTGTTGTATGACTAACCTAGTTATCCACAGTAATTTATTCTTTCTAAAAGTAAAAAATTTACAGACTTCGGTATTTAACCACTAATCAGAAACACCTTACTTTGGCACATCTCAAATTCAGTGCCTGAGTCTTTACTTGGGGTTGATGTTGACATTTTGTTGTGAAGTGGAACATGGTCTTTCTTCCCTTTGCATCTGATGTGGTTTCTCATTATTAGCTTATCACTGCTAGTCTATTGAGCATTAGACTGTCGATCCCAAGAGAAACTCAGTCCCAGCTGTTTACTAGGCTGTCTTAAAGAGTCAAGGGATGGACCTCTGCCCAGTGATATTGGAGTTTACAGGTCATTTCATCTAGCCAGGTGACTTACTTCCTGTGTTCTTAGGAAAAACTGCTTTTGTGGATAGTGTCAACGTTTACTGAACATACTGGGCATGGTCCTCAAGAGTTTTGGTTGGACTGGCAGAGTTGTTCAAGTGGTAGAGTGCCTACCTAGCAAGCATGAGGCCCTGAGTTCAAACCCCAATACCGCAAAAACAAAAAAGAGTTTTGGTTTAGATTTAGTTGGAATCTCTATCTCTGTACCAACACAAAATACATTTTTTTCTACCAAAAAATGCCTCTATTTCTATTAGTGTGGAGTTGCTTTGACTGTTTAATGTTAGAAAACTTAGTCTTCAACACAATTTCCATGAATAGTCAGATCCATTTCTCTTCTGAAATGATTCACCATCTTAGAAGGAATTTGTATAACCAGGTTTCAGGTAACTTCCTATCCTCCCTTCCTTTGGAGGCCTAAAATTGAAATAAGGACTAAATAGAAACAGTCTCTTCCTTTGTATGTGTTAGTTACTTCCTTCCTTCACTCCAAAACTTTAAGGGCTCCTCCACTAAAGTACAGGCACTGGGCACAGTTCTGCAACCAAGTTTATCACCTAGAAAAGTGGCTCCCTTCCCAGTCAGAACCTGAAGAACTGTGTGTTCCAGACACATGATCAAATGCATATTATTATGACATTTGCAGAAAAACAAGTGGAATTATCCACTCAGGTCAGAAGGCACACAACCAAATAGATGTCACTTAGGGGCATAGGGCCCTCACCTCACAAGACAAAACTGAAGTTTGGCATTTTTTAAATTAAACTTTAGCTTTTTTTAAAATTAATCATAGAAATAGTACATGTTCATTGCAAGTAAACTTAATAATGGATATAAAAAATTTTTAATTAACTTAGTTTCCGTCATACAGGGATTGCTAGTGGGAATGTGTTATATATCCGTCTGTGTTTTTCTGTATATATGTATATATAAATAATGCATCTTTTGAAACAAATAGGAGACCATACTGTACTTTTATAACTTGCTTTTTTTCATTTTACAAACTAGGGTGAACACCTGCCATGATAGCAGATAGTCATCATGTATGTTCTCAGCACTCCACTGTATGCTATATGACCATTTTTTTCTTCTTGCTAACTATAATTTATTTAAATCATCAACTGTTGTGTTGCCTGAAGTTTCTTATAAATAATGACACAACGTGCAACCATAAAGTTAAATCTGTCTCACAATCTCAGTGGAGTGGCTCAAGTGGGAGAGCGTCTGCATAGCAAGTATGAGGCCCTGAGTTCAAACATCAGTACTGCCAAAAAATATATATATATATATATGCATATATGTGTGTGTGTGTGTTGGCGTACATTATGAGAAATGGAATTGTAGGCTGGGCACACCATCAAGGCTTTGCTATATTGACATATTCCTCAGAAAAAGTTGTGTTAATCTACCATTCTCCAGTGTTGTAAAAGAATACTTGTTTTTCTGATCCCTTACTAACACTGGCTGTTATTGTTTAGAAAATATTTTGCACAGGGACTGGTTGAAGTGGCTCAAGTGTTAGAGTGCTTCTAGCAAGTGTGAAGCCCTGAGTTCAAACCCCAGTACAATCAAAAATAAAAAGAAGCCAGGCACCGGTAGCTCACACCTGTAATCCTGCTACTCAGGAGGCAGAGATCAGGAGGACTGAGGTTTCAGGCCAGCCTGAGCAAATAGTTGGAGACCCTATCTCAAAAAAAAAAAAAAAAAAAAAAAAATCACAAAACACTGTGCTGGTGAAGTGTGGCTCAAGGTGTAGGCCCTGAGTTCAAACCCAGTACCTCAGCTGAAACCTGAACCTTAGAGAGTAGCTTAAGGTCTGTCACCTTACTGACTAATCACTTAGTATCTGCTATCAAATGAGAATGTCATCTCTTCATTCCTCTCACACATAATAGGTTCTCAAATACTTGTGAATCAGTTCAGTGTTGTTTGCCATAGGTAGGTGGAGAGATAACCCATGGTTGCTGCTGTAAGTATAGAAACCTGCTTTTCCAGGCTCGGGCTATAGGTCATCGGTGGAGGAGCTCTTGCTTAGCATGCACAAGGCACCAAATAACCTGCGGGGCAGTGGATTTGCCAAGGCCTAATTTTTTTTTTTTTTTTTGAAGGTACTGGGGTTTGAACTCAGAGCCTCATGCTTGCTAGGCAAGTACCATTACAGCCATACCCTAGCCCTTTTTTGCTTTAGTTATTTTTCAGGTAGGCTCAGGCATTTTTGTCCCAGGTGGCCTTAGTCTTCGATCCTCTGTCTAAGGCCTCCCGTGTAGCTGGGATGATGATAGGCATGTGTCACCACAATGGGCTTACTGTTTGAGATGGAACCTCAATAACTTTTTGCCCAGGATGGCCTTGAACCAAAATCCTCCCAATCTCTACCTCCCAAGTAGTTGGGATTACATGCATGAGCCACCACACCTGGAATCAAAGAATGGACAATGATGGACTGACATTTTATACATTGTTATGTTGTGTTTGAGGCTATCAAGTAACTAACAATTACTGAGGTCTTTGCTCGTGGTGATGGTGGGAGCCAATTTTCACTAACCATACCACAGAAAGCAACTAGATAGCCTAGAAAAGAAAGGTTTTTTTTTTTTAATCAATCTGTAATCCTAGCTACTCAGGAGGCAGAGATGAGGAGGATGGAGGTTCGAGGCCAACCCAGGCAAATAGTTGCAGAGACCTCATCCCCAAATTAATCAGAGCGAGATGGAGTGGAGGTGTAGAAAGTGCCTGCTTTGGAAATGCAAAGCCCTGAATTATATCTCAGTCCCACAAAAAAAAAAAAAAAAAAACTGCTTGACTTTCCCAGGGACAGTTGTCTACAGGCACTCAGAACGGCCCAGGTGTGCTATACTATCAAAAGTTTTCCTACAAAACAGCTTTTCACAAAACTAGGCAGTCCTCAACTCCTGGTAATAGAATTGTTTTCCTTTACACTAAAACGCTGGGGAAAGGACCAAAGTTCGAAAGTGAGAGGTGCCCAGACTTCAGGAGGTTTGCGCCACCGTGAGACCTGAAGGTCTTAGGAAACTGTCTCAGGTGGAAAACGGGTGTCAGCAGGGCCTGCGGGGGTTCCCCGTGTGTTGTCTGTGACACCAGCAGAACATCATAAAATGCTGAAGGCACAACGCAGTTACGGACCCAAATTTAAAATGAAGCTTTTCTGAGTAATTTTTAAAAATCAAAAGGCTAAAAGAAAAAACAAATCTGCTTGAAGGCTTCACAGAGCTGACAGTGATTTTGAGGGATTACGGGACCAGAACCCCTGGGGAGATGGAGGCCCAGGAGGAGGCTTAGTGTTGCCAGCCACTTTTCTGGCGCGTTTGCCAAATTTAGAGACCATTCAGAAGCTGATTGGTGATTTAGGCTTTTTTTTTTAAGGTGCTGGGGATTGAATCCAGGGCCTCACATATGCTAAGCACATGCTGGAACCCTGAGCAAGATTACTGAGTGATTTCACAGCTTCCCAGAATTAGGCGACAGGGCCTGTCAGAGTGCTAGCCCTGGCGATGTCCCTGGCTTTGGGTGGAGGCCGCCAGTCCTTTACTCCCCAGAAATGGAGAATGAGGACGAGAAATAGGAAATAAAAGGCCAAGGGGACTGCAGCTCAGCTTCCAGTCAGCCAGCCTTGAAATTAGATGCGGGTGATCCCAGAGCGGTCCTTTCCCCAAACCTTGACGTAAGCAAATAAAAACCTCTTCAGAGGAAAATACCATCATCCTAACCCTCAAATTATTTCTACAATTTCCTAGTGCAATATCCTGAACACAACAAAATGTCACCAGGCTTAGGAACAAGATAAACTAGCGAAGAGCAACAGGTGTATTGTGGCTACAGATATTGGAGCTATCAAATATAGACCCTAAAATAACTGCTTACTATGTTCAAGCAGATACAAAAGTGTGGGAATTTCAGCAGGTATTTGGACATCTTAAAAACAAAAACCTAATAGCACCCCCATAGTCCCAGCTACTTGGAGGCTGAGGTAAAAGGATCATTTGAACCCAGGAATTTGAGGACAGCCTATGTTCAAGGGCAATATGGTAAGACTCTGTATCTAAAACCAATAAAATGATGAATAAAAATCCAAGAACCAAAATTAAGAATTCAGTGGAAGAGTTTAAGAGTAGATTGGGTGGCCTGAAGGAGTGGTTCAAGTGGTAGAGCACCTGCCCTAGCAAGTGCATGGCCCTGAGTTCAAGCCCCAGTACTGGGAAAAAAAAAAGAAAAGAAAAGTAGACTGACCACAGCTGAAGAAAGAACTAGAAAAACTGGAAGCTGGACATACTAACAGATATTCAAGACTACAAGTACTTATACACCAGTACTGAAAGAAAATAAATTCATGAGGGGTCAGAAAACAACAGACCACAGGCCAAACCCATTCAGCAACACCTCACTTACTAAGGTCAAGAGACTGGGCTAAGAATGGTTTTACATTGTTTTTCTTGCAGTGCTGAAGATTGAACACAGGGCCTCATGCTTGCTAGAGTGGCTTGTGTCACTTAAGCCACAGCCCGAGTCCCAGTTCTTACATCTTTGTATAGTTATAGGAGTACCTACATAATATTCTCAAGCTTGCTCTCCATCTGCAAAGTCTAATTGCTTATTTGTTCACTCCTAATATTGTAAAGATGTCCTCAAATTGATATGTGACCTCAATAAAATTGCAAACATCCAACAGTTGTTTTTGTGTATGTGTGTGACATTCAGCAAACTAATTCTGAGATTTATCCAGAAATGCCAAGACAGTAGTGGGAGGTCAAGGTGGAGGATTTCTTTTTTGGATAGACATATAGCTTGTAACAAGAATAGACAAATAGACTAAATAGCTTAGGAACAGGTGGGGATAATGATTTGGAAGGGCCTGAAAAAGGTTTCTTCAATGTTTGCCTGTTTTAAAATCTTGGTAGTGGTTGTGTAATAAATTGTTGAGCTGTGCTTTTTTTTTTGGCAATACTAAGGTTTGAGCTCAGGGCCTCAGGTTTGCTGGGCAGGCACTCTACCACTTGAGCCTCTCTCCACCAGCCCTTTTCTGTGTTGGTTATTTTCAAAATAGAGTCTCAAACTATTTGGCCCAGGCTGACTTTGAACCTTGATCCTCCTGATCTCTGCCTCCTAAGTGGCTAGGATTACAGGCATGAGCCACCAACTCACTGATGGCAGGCGAGCTGTATTTCTTTTGTACACTTTTCTGAATAGACATTATGTCTTTGAAATTAAAAAGAGTTTTATTTTTGCAGAGCTGAGACCGTACGCAAGGTCTCACACATGCTAGGTCAGCACTCTATCATTCAACAATACCCCCAACCCAAGGAAAAGGTGTTCTAAAGAACCAACGGTCTTAACATGAAGCCGCTTTCCTAAATACCACATTTTACTTCAAAATCAGAAGGCATTTCATTTCCATTATCTCCTAATTCTATATCCATTTAAATTTGAAACCCATAGCCAGGTGTGGGTGCACGAGCCTATAATCCTAGCAGGCTGGGGTAATCCCAGGAGGCTGAGGCACAAGGATAGAGTGTTCAAATGCCAGCTTGGGCTACATAGACTCTGTCTCAAAAAGAAACTGCTTAATTACACACACACACACGTGTGCAGTGTGTGTGCAGTGCTGAGGATCAAACTCAGGACCTTGCACGTGCTAGGTAGAGCAACAAGTCCTCTGCTGTAATTAGAGCAGAGTCCCTCCAAAATCCTAACCTGGTGACCCCAAACAGTCTAATTCAGGTTGGGGATCAGGATGAACTGTGACCTAGGTAACAGGAGACAGAATGTGGGCTGGGAACATGTGTGGCCCCAAGTGACCATCTTCCACCCCTTTGTCCTGAATAGGCTCTGGTGTAAGATGTGAAACAGGGATTGGGTGGGGAAACTGGGGGCCCCATCCCAGAAAGCAGTTGCCCTAGTCAAATGGAAAATAAATTTCTAACTAACATTTCTAATCAACTCTGCACTCTTTTGCTCAATTTGAGATAGAAATGACAAAGAAGCAAATACCACCCCAACGAAGCTTTCTTGGGGCTTATGCTCAAGTATAAAGGGAACTGCCAGGCAGTGGTGATTTGTGCCTGTAATCCTAGCTACTCAGCAGGCAGAGATCAAGAGGATTGAGGTTCGAAGCCAGCCCGAGGCAAACGGTGCTGGAAAAAACCCATCATAAGAAAGGGCTGGCAGAATGGCTTAAGTAATAGGCTCTGAATTCAAACTCCAGTACCACAAAAAGGAAAAAAAGAAAATCCTGGTTTGGCTGGCTCCTCCGAGAAGTGAAGAAGAAAGTTTGTGCAATCTGAGGTACTGACTATTTCGGCCCCAGGAGTGGTCAGAGCCAGGCATTCTGTGCTGGGAGATTTGGAGGAAGCCGTAGTGCACATAGGGCCATCCTAGGACTTGTGTGCTGCAAAAACTTCCTTCTATTAAAGATGGAAAAATCAGGTCTTTTTCCATTTGGTTTCATTCCACCTAAGAGATTTTATCCTTTTTTGGTTTTTTTGTTGTTTGTTGTTTTGTTTTTTTTTGCAGTACCAGGGCTTGACCTCAGGGCCTACACC